CAAGGGGAGGTAATTCATTCACTGGTTAAATTATTTTCTTCTCTAAAAAAAATGTTATTAATAAAATTGCATAAATAGTCTTAGCAAATTCAAGAATTAATGTCATTTTTTTTTATTGGTATTATTTTTTAATTTCTTCTTTGGCTTGCTAAAATTGTGTGAGCGTTTGTTTAAATATTTCGCTTATTTTTAACGAATATTAAATCATCTTAAGAAAAATTGTCACGATTCTTGTGACAGTAATAAAAAGTGACCTAATGTACTATTATTATTAATCACGTTTGGTGCACGTGATCTTTTACACGGTTCTTTCACTTTTCGTTTTCTTATAGTAATCTTGATGTATTGATCATTGTAATAATGTTCAGGACCTTCATTTAATTATTATAGATATATTGATATTTTTATTTATATATATATATATATTTATATATAATACACTCTTTGAAAAGAATAAATAGAGAAACGCTTTTGTTTTTAATTTTTTTATAGTATAGATACTTAGATACAGACGTTTTCTACCCCAGGAATTCCTACTATTATCAACCTTGGGCTTAATGATACTGCTGATATTTTGTTATTAGTGTCGATAATAAGGTAATTGAATTTTTCCCATGTTTTTTAATATCTAATCGAAATGGTGAAGTATGACTGTAATTATGTAGCGATTCTCTGGATTGAATATATATATTTTATAAATTGTAATCAATGGAACTTATTATTTAATATAATATAATCGTATGATTTTAATTGTCAAATGATTATTATCTATATTTAACACGTGATGATAACGTAATTCATTAATATTTATATGTATAATATGATATTATAAAATCACTTTTTAGACGTAACATATTTATTAAATGTAAATTTAAGTCTAAAGCACTTCAATTAAAAATTTAAATTGACAATTATTGTTAATAATTATTAAGTTAAAGAAAACAGTCAAGAACAATCATGCCTATAATAGGTGTGATTGCTCTTGACAGTTTCTTTTATGCGACTCTGTTACGTAGTTTATTAATTTACTTTTTAATAACTAATTGAATAATTTTTATGAATGCAAAATTTCATTGAATTGTGTATGTTTGTTTCGACTTTTACAAAAAATATTTATAAGCAATTTTATTAATTGCGCCTTGTCGTTACCTTAAACTACATCTATAAATACAATTATTAATTTATATCTTAATACAATAATTATTTTTATTTTTTTATCCTTACTATGATTTGGCTGTGAGTGTCGACCATGGATTTTTAATTGAAAGATCTTGAAATGAATTTTTATTATGAAATTGAATATATAATTGGTTGATGACATCCAAGTCAACTTACGATTTTAAATTGAATTTAAAGGTCTTTCGGTAGGGTCATTTCTGCTACTAACAACATATTTTCATGTATAAATATTTCTTTATAATAGCCGGAAATGCTGTTACAAACAATAATATTTACTGGTAAATGCATTCATCCTTAAAAGAACGTTACATTGAACCCTTTGAATAATAAAGTGTATATACTATACACATAAATAAAAGCTAACTACATAAAATTGTTTTTATATTTATGCCACAATGTCATATATTAGATAGTATTGTATTATCTAAGTACATTATGTTAATAAAAAGGTAACCTGTCAGAAAATATATTAATTTTTTGCGTTTTATTATAAAATGACAAATCTATTTATTTTGTCGTATTAAAGTAGTATATTAACATAACTTTAATGTAAAAAATAAAATAAATTTTATTTAACAATCAAGAACTTTATAGAAGCTGTATAACATTCAAGTTATATTTTTAGTTTAACTCTTAGATTTTTTCTACGATTTGTTTTCATTGATTATTACTTTTTTACTGAAAGAAAAGACAAATCTACTAAATTTTTTTTACTATATATTGTGGATAAATAACTATTATTTGAACAGTTTTGGATTGAATAATTGTTACATAGAAGAGGAATTTCTGTTTACATAGATAAATATAGTTTTACTTATGGAGTAATAATTACTATTCTTAAATTGACGCGCATGTGTAATATTTTTCTTATGATCTTTGCGGTCAACTAGCTGTAGAGTTTATTACATCCTAGCGTAAAAAATAGAGAAAAAAAATTTTAAGTATAAACTATTCGCTAATATTTTGTTAGTATATATTTTCTTATCTATTAATGTCATTTTTTCATTAATTTATGATAATTCAAACTGACTGATCGTTGGGTAACAGAGTTTATTATCGTTTTCATGTAAAGGTGTTTGACGTCACCTAGCTTTTAATATTTCTAATTGTTTTGTTTTGCTTTCCTTGCTTTTGTTAAAATTACGTTGCGAGTAGTTGAAGTATTATTATCATTAACATCGACTTGTGGCGCTTAGAGTATTGATAAGCATTTAATCAGAAATAATATTATTTATGTATATAGATTGATGTTTTTTTACAGCAATAATAAATCCAAAATAGCAATGTCTCTTTCAAATTATTGTAAAAAGTCTGTCATTTTGAATTATCCAATAGTAGATTGCTTAACACGTTAAACTTGTATCCATACAAATCACCATAATACAAATTCAACTATCAATTATAGACTCTGTAAAATAAAAGTTTAAAACGCATCTAAATATGTTAATTTTCAATTAAAATCGTTTTCTCAAGTAATATGGCAAATTTAAAACAGGTTTGCATAATATATTAATTTTGAATAAGACTTGAAGAACGTTAAATAAACATTATAATCTATTAACACGGTTAACAGAGTAATTGAAAATAAAATAAACGTTCGCATTTTTTTTAGTGCGGAGACGGGAGAATAGAATTTTCGCAATGGTTTCACATGTTGATATTATCTTGTTTTCGATTAAAAATTAACTGGATAAGCAAAAATTGTTTACAAATAATTATGCAAATGGTCAACTTATTTACGTCTTAGTCTATTTATTTTAATATGCATGTGTGATATGTTACTTTTACGAGACCATTTTATATATCACAGGTAATAAAATCCAAATTTACTTATTCATAGCTATTTATTGTTCACTGTGCATTTAAATTTTGTCCAAAAATAGTTTTCATTTGTTATTAATATAATACAAATTTTTCTAGTTACTATTTTTGTCAGATTTTCAAGGAAAAATTAAGTAATCATATTTCGTTAACTATTACTATACACAAAATCTACTTGGTGAATAAAAACAACTTTATTGTTATTACATTAAATAAATAAAATGTAATAAATTTCAAAAGTGAATTCATGTTTCATTCATTACATACGAACAGCGTATAAAACCCCCAGCAAAGTGGTGATGTGACGTAGTTAGAACAAGTATAAATGATATACAGTGATTAAAATTACGATCATAAAATACATTTCCATAGTAATCTGTAGATAGTGTTAATTTTTAGATAGAATTGTTGGATTATTCCAAAAACAACAACAACAACTCTTATTTCCTTAATTAGTTTATTACCATGATTACTAGTTTTATAATTTTTAAGTATAACACATGAATAAATACATAGTATGAAAATTAAATTTATTATGAAATGGATATTCAATATTTTGTATTATTATTTTCACAGAAGAATTGTATATAATAAAAATTTTTAGTATGATTTTATCAAAAAAAAGTTAACTCTTTTAATTTGTTTATTCTGATCTTCTTTAATTAATTATTATTTCAGTCATGAATTTGACTTTATAGTCATTGACTATAGATTTAAATAATTAAAAAAAAATGTAAAATTGAAAAAAAAAAAAATTAAAACAATATGTAAAATCATGATTAACGCCATAATAATACTTATTTTTTAACTTCATAGGCTATTTACATATAGGAAAGTGGTCGTTGTGAACATTTTTTTTTTAGTATGTAACAAATTTTAAATTTAACATATGTTTGATGTTTGAAGTATTTTCGGAACATTTTCAAAGGTTAATTGTAAAAGTTATACTTTTTATACGTTATGTTTTAAATTTTAAATTTTTCTTATACAAAGAAAAAGGTATGAATTAAAAAAAAAAGTATGTTATTTATATTAAAGGGATATTTATAAAGTATTTTTAGAAAAAAATTATATTGATCAATACATTTTTCAAAAAGGTATAGCATATTAAAGTTGATGAAAATTCGATAGTAATGTTTTTAATTTAATACAATTTGTGATTTTTTGACGTATAGTTAAAAAAATGGGTCTAGTGAGACCAGAAAAAAAGTAGTGACAGACAAAAAAATAAAAAATATTGTAAAATTAATATCTATTTAGCTTTGAATCGACGTTAAAATGTAGTACGTTTATCGTAAGTCTTATAATATATTAATATTTAACTTAAATGAATTATAAACCATTTAAGTATCTTATCTAGGATATTAATTTTAAAAAGTCATCAGCTTTTTTCTAAAAGGTCATCATGAAAACTTTAACATTAAGATTAATTTGAAAAATGCTGTATAGGTTTTTTACTTGAAATTAAATTTGTTAAAATTAGAAGAACTGAATAATTTAAATTCAAAATATTAAATATTTTGAATAAATAAATATTCATAAATTTTATGTATATTTATAAATATGTATACTTTTTTTATAAATTTATAAATGTATACATTTTTTTCAAGTACAGAAGTGCTTTTCTTTATCTTTCATCTGTAATAATTTATTTCACAAAGTTATTAGTCAATTTGGCACGAGTTTCCGTAGTTTTTTTTAGTAAACTAAAGCAACTAATGCCAGTTTTTTATTAATGCCCCACGTGCTTACTCCCACAAAACTCTTAAGGTTATTAACACCTAAACAATTTTGATTTATTTGTCAAAAATCATTATTAACCTATAATATTTTCAAATTTATATTCGGATAATTAATAAAAACACGACATGTGTAAAACCAATACTTTCTCAGTATCATCAAAGCTAAACAAATTTTAAAAGTATTAAAAAATTCATGTTACATGAAAATAATAACATAATTAATGAACAGTTTGGATAAAATTGTTTATATTGTTGCAGCCATCAATTTTATTTGCACGCCAAGTTAGAATTATTTGAAGGTCGTTTAAAACCAACTGATAGCCAAGCTATTTGTAAGGCTATAGCTTTATTGGCTCAAGCTGAATTTGGTGACTGTGATGATTTAGTGCTGTCACAGTTTTACTCTCAATGGTGTGAACACTTAGGCATACCTATAGACGATGAAGAATCAATTAATTTAATTAAAAAACTACACTCTGAAATAAAGGTATATATTATTCAAAATAGATTTTTTAATATATCTCATATTCGTATTAATGTTTTATTGAATTCTCTTGTTTTAGGGTATGAAGCAATCTACTGCCGAATATTGGTTAATCAAAGAAGTATCTGGCTTAGAAAATTTTGGAGAAGAATTATTTGAAGGGAGAACTACTAATGGTTCACCTGTTTTAGTGGGTGTTGGCCCACATGGTGTGAGTTTAGAACAACCAGATTTACCGGACCAAGAAAAACAAATGTAAAAAAAATACTTTCAAAGTTAAAAAAAATCATACAAAGTTAAAGAGTATCTGTTAAATTTTCAAACTTATGTTTTATTTAGGATTCCATACACAGCAATACGGAGTGCAGCTAGTCATAGACGGGTGTTTGAAATGTGGTATTTGGCTGGCGTTGAACATTCCGAAACATTAATTGTGTTAAAACTAGAATCTAGTCTAGGGGCTAATACTCTATATAGAGCTTTAACAGAAAAACATGCTTTCTACAGTTGTGAGACTGTTAGAGGTGCTGTCACTTCACAATATATTAGAGATCTCAAGGTAAAATTTCAAACCTTGTGAATGAAAATTTAAATATTTTCTTTTTATTAAATTAAAATATTTCTGTTTTTTGGAATATCTTTTTTATTATATTATCACATTATTAAACTAATAAAACTGAGTGTAAAATAATATAGATTAATTAAGCTGATGAATTTAATTTTTCAGGGTACAATCATATCAATATTTAATGAAGATTCACCATTAGGTAAAAAATATGTATTTGACATTCAACGAACTTGTAGAGAAGTACACGATAATGCTCGTCGTGCATTATATGATCAACAAAACAAGATTATTCCTCTTAGCCCATCAGTAACAACAAGTGTAGCTGAACCAGAATCATCAAATACAAAAGATAGTTATAGATTAGCTAAATTAATTGATGCACTTACTTGTAGAATTTGTATGGATGCTACTATTGATCATGTTTTTTTTCCTTGTGGTCATGTTATTGCATGTGGGACATGTGCAAAACGCTGTGAAGCATGTCCACTATGTCGTGGTGTTATTGAAGAATCAAGACATGTATTTATACCTACATTAGCTGATTTACCTAATTTTCATCATCAGTAGTAGCTGAAGAGTCTTATTTAATTCGTGGTATCTAATGAATGTACTACATTAGTATTGACTTCAGATATACACGTCTGTGATAATATATTTTTGTATCAAAACTTCCTATACTTTCATACTTATTTATTTTTGTAATTTTTTCATTAAGTTTTTTTTTTAAAAGTATTATTAAAACATGATAGAACATTTGATTCATTCTTCATTTATTATTTTATTATTTAATAGTATATTAATTTTTAAGAATTATGTTACTTTTACTATGAATGCCCATAATATGTATTAAATTGATTTATGTTACCAATAAGATATTAATATTATTAAGTCATTAATGACATAGTTGTTAATTTTATATTTGTGAAGTATGTACAATTAAATGAAAAGCTACAAAAAAATATTAACAATTAGAATTTTAATTTAAGATTTTGTTGTAAATTTTATTAATGTAAAAACAAAACACTTTTTTAAAATGCTCATTCATAATATCTATTGTTATACTAACATTATTATGTATAATTTTGTTTTTTGTTAAAATATTTATAAATAATAAAATTAATGACAAAATTATTTAAAAAAAAAATATTTTACTAAAAAAAATTTTCCATTAATAATTCTTATACCTTATTTTAATATACTTATTAATAATTATTTAAAGTTATCCCTCCTTCCCATTCATGCTAAAAAATAAGTTTCTAATTTTTTATCGACAGTATAGGGCAAATTTTCCTTCCCAATATACAATATTAAAATAATTTTAATCGTTAATATTAAGAAAAAAAACTAACAAGTTACTAATATTATTTATTAAACTCATACAGAAAATGTATACTAGTGAAAATGTAAATTGTACTAAATAAAAATTGTAGATAGACTAATTATAATATGAAGATAATTAACGAATACTTAAAATAAATTATTATACAATTAATAATAGTAAAAATTAGTGATGTGCATTTTCAAATATTTTAAAATATCGAATAACTATTCAAATTGTGTTTATACAACCAAATAGTTTATTTTTAGCATATACTATCGAATATTTTTTGAATGACTATCGAATAGCTCAATAGTTACTATTCGATATTCCCCATCACTACTTTTTGATATATTAGCATTTAAAGTTATAGAAAAGGTGAGAAGTGGGGTATTATTTAACGACACTATATTTTAACCGTAATATTCAAAAAGGACAAACCAATCACTTATAACTAAAAACTATATCAACTAAAAAAGTAATATTACAAAACTTGTTATCGATTAGTTAAAATTTAATTTAATTGATTCTCTTCTTCTTCTTCCTCACAATTACTTGGGGTCGGCCACACTTATCCTAAACTTCCACTTGACACGATCTCCCACATCATCTACGCTCACATCAGATGTTCTGATATCGCATTCAATAGCATCCCTCCATCTCTTTTTTGGTCTTCCTCTACCTCTTCTTCCTTTAACATTCATTTCTATAATTATTTTTACAGCTTCCGATTCTTCTCTCCTCATAACATGACCAAACCATCTTAATCTATTTTCTCTCATCTTATCCAATATTGACGCTACACCTATACTCCTTAAATGCTCGTTCCTTATTCTATCTTCTCTAGTCACTCCACTCATCCATCTAAGCATTCTCATCATCTCTGCTACACTCATTCTCTGCTTTACTTTCTTGTATTTATACAACCGAATAGTTTATTTTTAGCATAAACTAAAATTTAATTATTAATAATTTAATTGATTCTCCATTTAAAATTAAAAAGATAATTATAGATTCCCAATTAACTTTTGATAGTTACCCCTCTAAAATCTACCCTAAGAAATCATTTTTTTTAATATAATTAACTTGATACTTCTTTTGGTTAATAAAAAAAACATTTATCGAAAAAATTGAGGTAGTACTCGTAATAAATCACACTACAAATAAAAAAAGGGTAACATTTTCTGTATAAGTTTAATAAATAATATTAGTAACTTGTTAGTTTTATTTCTTAATATAAAAGATTAAAATTATTTTAATATTGTATATTGGGAAGGAAAATTTGCCCTATACTGTCGATAAAAAATTAGAAACTTATTTTTTAGCATAAATGGGAAGGAGGGATAACTTTAAATAATTATTAATAAGTGACATTTCACATGCTACTTTTGTAGTCCTGTTGAGCGAGTTGATCTATAATAAATTAAAGAAGAGAAAAATGTATTTGAGTAACTTAAATATATTATAATGTATGTAGCGCTATCTATTATATAATTTTATTTTATTACTGAAATATTTGTTATCACGTAGTATCATTATCAATGACCCAGTACAGTTGGAACTTTGGAAGTCAAAACTGTGTCTACTATTAAGTCGTTTAAATAACTGTGTTAATCAAAAATTATGATGCAATAATATCAGTAAAATATTAAGATAAGTAGTGTTAATCTCGCTTAAAAGTATTAAATTTACCATAAAATAGTTACATTTTGAAATTAAAAACTAAACAACCGTCATTGATGGTGGTCTCTTTAATTTAAATTTAACATGATCAAGAGATCCAACGCAAAAGAAATGTTTATCATACGTGCGTTGGAAAAGATCCTCAGCGACAAGGATATTAAGAAATCATACCATAGTAACTTAAGGAAAGAATGTGAAAGTGCTCTACGTAAGAACTAATTAAAAATTAATATTTATTTATGTTCCATCTGGCTGTTGCTAATCTAATTTTTTATTTAATATTATATTATTAATTGTTTTAAAGAGAGTATAAAAGAAGAGTATCAAGCGGAAGAAAAGACTGATGAATCTTCTGCCTTGCCATTGCCCAAAGATGGGAGCTCAACCATTTCAGCTGAAAAATATTTTAGACCTTTTGAGCTTGCTTGTCAAAGCAAGTCATCTAGAATAGTAGTAACTTCGTTGGATTGTTTACAGGTATTATATATTTCTTAAGTCATTTGAAGCGTCCATTATTTTTATAATTTTTTTTTAGAAACTTATTGCTTATGGTCATTTGACGGGCAACTGTACCAATGATACTGGTAAACCACTTATTGATAAAATAGTTGAAACTATTTGTGATTGCTTCACTGGACAGCAAACAGATGAAGGAATTCTTTTGCAAATAATCAAAGTAAACTTAAATAATACAAAGCTTTTCATTTGTATTTAAATATGGTTTAAATATTTTTTAGGCTCTTTTAACTGTAGTAACTAGTCAGCATGTAGAGGTACATGAAGCAACTATTTTAAAAGCAGTAAAAACATGTTATAATATATACTTAGCTAGTAGAAATTTAGTCAACCAAACAACAGCTCGAGCAACTCTAACTCAAATGCTGAATGTCATCTTTAACCGAATGGAAGTACAAGCATTAGAAGCAGAATTGTATAGTAAAGATGTAGAATCTGTAACAATTGAGTATAATGAAAATGAAACTATTATACATAATGATGATTCGAATAATTATGAAATATCAGATGATTTAGTTATTAATGACATAGTTAATGAAATATGTGATGCTGCAATTGAAAGTGTAGATTATGATAGAAAAACTAAAGAACTAGCTCAAGATATTGTAAGGTCAATGTCAGAGGTAAGATTTTTAGATAAATCAAAACTTTATATTAGTTTTCTTATACAATTTAATAAAAATAAAAAAAAATTAGTGATATTAATATTTTATCTTCTCTAGGAAAGTTTAAATGGTACTAATGAAGCAGAATGCAAATCAATTTCAGCATTTAACCATATTTTACAAAAAGATGCTTTCCTAGTTTTTCGTTCTCTGTGCAAATTATCAATGAAACCTTTACCAGAAGGAACACCTGACCCAAAGTAAGTTATTAAAATATATATTTCTCAAAAATATTTATATTAATACACTGTAATATATATATTGTAGGTGTATTATTTTAATAAATGTATAATTAAAAAAAAAATTAAAAATATAATCATTTTGATTATATTACTTTAATATTCAAATTAATGTAATATAAAATTATAAACTAAAAAACTTTATGTGAAGCATAAACATTAACTTGTTAACGCTTCATACATTGTTAGAGATTAATTTGTATATTTTATAGGTCGCATGAATTACGCTCCAAAATTTTGTCATTGCATCTATTATTATCAATTTTGCAGAATGCAGGCCAAGTGTTTCGTACTAACCCAATGTTTATAACAGCAATTAAACAATTTTTATGTGTAGCTTTATCCAATAATGGAACATCTTCAGTTCCTGAAGTGTTCGAACTTTCCTTAGCAATATTTTTATCTTTGTTATCACGATTTAAAACTCATCTGAAAATGCAAATTGAGGTATATAATAATTTTTGTTATTTTATTTATAAACTTAATTAAAAATATTAATATTTTTATTTTTAAAAATCTCAATACTGTATATAGTTTTGTTTATGAGTAATTCATTTCTGTTTTTTTATCATTTATCATTAAGTAGTTTAATTTGAGTTTATTTACATTTTTTTATGTGGTATATTACTAGTAATTTAAATACTATATATTTTATAATAAAAATTGATCACTTGTGGTTAATTAATTAAATAAAATTAAAACTATATTAAAAATATTAGTAATTTACTGACCCAGTATGTGTTTAGCGTTGATAATGGTAACATTGTTTCCAAAATAAGTATTAGCAATTTTTCAGTAATTTTTTGTGGCTTTTTGAGTTTAATATTTTTTAGTTTTTAAATTAATAGTATTTTTAATATAGCTTTAATTTTATTTAATTACTATATTCATTAATTCCTAATTTATTTTTAAGGTTAAACATTTTTAATTCTTGGTGTATTTCAGGTTTTCTTTAAAGAAATATTTTTAAATATCTTGGAAACATCAAGTTCAACATTTGAACATAAATGGATGGTAATTCAAGCTTTAACTCGTATTTGTGCTGATGCTCAAAGTGTTGTAGATATGTATGTAAATTATGACTGTGATTTATCTGCAGCTAATTTGTTTCAAAGGTTAAAATCTTGTTAAAAATGTCTAGTGAAGTTACTATTTTTGTTTAATATAACTATTTGTTTAGACTTGTAGATGATCTTTCAAGAATTGCACAAGGCCGTCAAGCAATTGAATTAGGTGCCACACTTAATCAAGAAAAATCTATGCGTATTCGTGGACTTGAATGTTTGGTTTCTATTCTAAAATGTATGGTAGAATGGAGTAAAGATCTATATGTCAATCCAAATTCTCAAACTAATCTAGGCCCAGAAAAAAATGTACGTGATTATGATGCTAATGAATCTACAGTTACTCAAGATAGTATAAATTCATTTGATGGTAGTGAGACTAGTGAAACTTCAAATAGTTCTGGCAATAAAGAAACACCAGACATGCCTGAACAATTGCAAGTCTTAAAGCATCAAAAAGAAGTTTGGGAAACTGGTATACATATGTAGGTATTATGATTGAAATAATTTGAAAAATCATTATTTAGTATCTTTCTTAATTTAAGGTTTAACCGCAAACCAAAACATGGTATTAATTTTTTACAAGAGCAAAAATTACTTGGATCAAGTCCATCTGATATTGCTGAATGGTTTCACATTGATGAGCGGTTAGATAAGACAGCTATTGGTGATTTTCTTGGTGAAAATGAAGATTTTAACAAAGAGGTAAATTTACTTAAAAATGTTGTTGAGAGAACATTTTATTTAAACTAATTTTCAATTTTTATTTTCTTAGGTTATGTATTACTATGTAGATCAAATGAACTTTGTTAGCAAAGATGTAGTTTCAGCATTAAGATTTTTTTTAGATGGTTTCCGATTGCCGGGTGAAGCTCAAAAAATTGATAGATTATTAGAAAAGTTTGCTAGTAGATGGTTTGAATGTAATCCAAAGTAATAAAATGTTGAATCTGAAGTTTTATTGTAAATTATTAACTAATTATACATATTTTTTAGCAATGGCCTTTTTGATAGTGCTGATACATTGTATGTTCTTTCTTATTCTATTATAATGTTAACTACTGATTTGCATTCACCTCAAGTTAAAACAAAAATGACCAAAGAACAGTACATAAAAATGAATAGAGGAAGCTGCATATCTGATAATAAAGATTTGCCTGAAGAGTATTTGAGTAAAATTTATGATGATATTGCTGGACATGAAATTAAAATGAAGTCAACTGTAAAACCTGGAAAACAACGTGAGTAAAATACATTTTAGTTACAACATTATTGCTATTATAAGTTGCTAAAAACAACATTTTTATGTTTTAGTAATACCAAATGAAAAAAGACGAAAAGTTTTGTGGAATATGGAAATGGAAGCTATAGCAGTTGCTGCTAAAAATCTCATGGAATCTGTTAGTCATGTTCGAGCTCCTTTTACTGAAGCAAAACATTTAGAACATGTCAAACCTATGTTTAAGGTCAGTATACACTCACTATTTTTTTAGAGAATATAATGTATTAAAATGAATAAATATTATATTTTTTGTCTAGATGACATGGACATCATTTTTAGCTGCATTTAGTGTGGGACTTCATGATTGTGATGATTTAGAAATAGCAATGTTATGTTTAGATGGTATACGTTGTGCTATAAGAATAGCTTGTATTTTTCATATGACTGTGAGAATTTGTATATATTATTTTATATATTGTTGTATTATTCTTATTTTTACACTTTTTGATTAGTTGGAAAGGGATGCTTATGTTCAAGCTTTAGCAAGATTTACACTTTTGACTGCTAATTCACCAGTTACTGAAATGAAGGCTAAGAATATTGAAACAATTAAAACATTGATAACTGTAGCCTACACTGATGGAAATTATTTAGGCTCTTCATGGCTAGATATTGTTAAATGTATATCTCAGTTAGAACTAGCCCAGATGGTTGGTACTGGTGTGCGTCCTCAATTTTTATCTCAAGTTATTAGTAAAACTTATCCACCGATTGAAGCTTTAAGTCAAAAACTAAATTTTACCACATTAGAATGTAGGTAACATGTGTTAATGAAGTTGATGTTTGTATCTTTCTTATAAAATTTTACAATTACATAGCTACTGGAAAAGGATCAATAGGTGAAACTAGTAGTCAAAGTGTGGTTGTAGCTGTTGATCGTATATTTACTGGATCTACAAGACTTGATGGAGATGCTATTGTAGAATTTGTTAAGGCACTTTGCCAAGTATGACAATTAAATTTATTAAAAAAATAATTTTTTCAATTTCTTTCTTTAAGGTTTCAATTAACGAACTTGCTAATTCAACTCAACCACGAATGTTCAGTTTGCAAAAAATTGTTGAAATATCTTATTACAATATGGGACGTATAAGATTGCAGTGGTCTCGTATGTGGCAAGTACTTGGTGAACATTTTAATCGTGTGGGTTGTTATCCAAATGAAGATATTGCAACATTTGCTTTGGATTCGTTACGTCAATTGTCTATGAAATTTATTGAAAAAGGAGAATTTGCTAATTTTAAGTTTCAAAAAGATTTTTTAAGACCTTTTGAAATTATTATGAAAAAAAATCGTTCACCAACCATTAGAGATATGGTTGTAAGATGTATTGCTCAGATGGTCAATTCACAAGCAGCAAATATAAGATCTGGATGGAAAAATATTTTTGGTGTATTTCATCTAGCTGCATCTGATCATGATGGTGCAATTGTTGATATGGCTTTCCGAACAACACATCATGTAATTAGTATGTATTATGTAATAGTATTTTTACATATAAATAAAATATCAACTATAAATTAACATTATTATTAAATTTTTTATTAGATTTATTTTATAAACAAAATTGTATAATAATGATGGAATCATTTCAAGACGCTGTTAAATGTTTATCTGAGTTTGCATGTAATATTAGTTTTCCAGAAATTAGTATGGAAGCTATTCGCTTGTTACGCACGTGTGCAGATTGTGTTCATGATAAACCTCAAGTAAGCTTGATGAAATTAATTGATTATTTAAATCTATTATCTATATTATTTTCTTAAGATTTTTGCTGAACATTATTCTGAAGATTTAACTTCCCTTGAAGAGGATGGTGTATGGGTCAGGGGATGGTTTCCCTTACTATTTGAATTGTCCTGCATTGTTAGTCGATGTAAATTAGATATTAGAACTCGAGCACTTACTGTTCTATTTGAGTTAATCAAAACACATGGAACAGTTTTCAAGCTTAATTGGTGGAAAGACTTGTTTAATGTTCTTTTTAGAATTTTTGACAATGTCAAGCATCAAGAGCATAGTGTAGAGGTTAGTATTATTAAGAAATATTATGAATAATACATTAATTTAATTATAAAAATAACTAAAATTAATGTACTTAAATTAAAGAGAATTGAATGGTTGACAATCACTTGCAATCATGCATTGACCTCAATAGTAGATGTTTTTACTCAATATTTTGATTTACTCTGCCCTATATTGTTACAAGACCTATATGCTCAACTTCAATGGTGTATTCAACAAGGTAAATTTTTTTCAAACTAATTATATATAAACAATTTTTTGATAATGTTAATTTCTGTAGAAAATGATCAATTGGCTAGGTCTAGTACATATTGCTTAGAGAACTTAATTACATCTAATGGGTCAAAATTTGATAGTGCTAATTGGGATTGTACATGTCAAACTATTGTTACTATGTTTGATAGTATGATGCCAAAAAAATCACAAAGTCAAGAAATAAAAACTGAAGTGAGTAAAATATATTTAAATTATCTTAAAAATAGTATAATTTTTTTATTATAATCTTATATACAAATAAAAAAATATTCTTTGATAAATTAAAGTTTGACCAGTTAAACATTATATTAGAATTGTTTAAAAAATTTGTTTAGAGTTCATTGAAAAATAATATAGACTTAATATTAAAAAAAAATTTTATAGCTCTCAACTACAGATATTGGCATTACTGTTAAATGTACAATTCGTCTGGAATTAATTCAAACTGTAGATAATATTGTATTCTTTCCATCTACTTCACGTAAAGAAGATCAAGAGTATTTGGCACTAGCTCAAAATATTATGATTAATCAGAACACAGATATATTAGAGCAACAGCAAGAAGAACAAGGAATGTACAGCAACCTTAGTTCTGAACATTTGTTTATGTTAATTGAATGTTTATTACGAGTTCATAATTATACTAAGCAATATAATTATTCTATGTTACAAAACATTCCTCCTCGCAGTTATTGTAAGTATTGTATTTTTCTAAACACTTGTGAAATAAAATAAATTAATATATTTAGTTATAATTTTAGTAAACGAAGATGTATCTAATATGGTTACACAAGAAGTTCAAAGTGTGGCTTGTATTCTTAGAATAGTATTAAAAATTATTTGCGATGATTCTAGACGAACATATTGGAATCATGCACAAAGTATAGCTGCAACAGTCATTAATGACTCTCTGCAATATTACATATCATTAAATAATCATATTCATAAAAATGCATGGAATCCTATTTTATTACTTATATTTACCAAATTATACAAACTTCCAGAGGACAAGGTTTGTCATAAAATATATTTTATGCCAAGTTATTTCAGATAATTTATGTAATTACTTCTTTATAGTTTTCAGAACAAATGACCCAACACTATTCTGTTTTGTGTGACATGATAAGTGTTGAATTAAAACCAGAACTGAAAACTGTTCTTGGCCGTTTATTTTCTCGTATTGGACCGGTTTTTAAAATTATGTAGATTATTTTAGTAACATAATAGTATGTATTTTTTAAATAATGTGTATTGTAAAATATAAAGCTCGTAAAATTAAACAATATATATTACACAATACAAAAATGATTGTAAACTATTGATTCTAGTATTTGAATATTAAAGTTATTTTTTAAAACATACCTTTTCAATTAATAAATCAATTTGATTACATTTGTTATCTTTTAATGTTGTGAATTCCGTTTATTTGTTATTTATTTGGTAAATAGATAACCTAATACTAGTATTATTATTTATATATTTTTAATTGTTGTTTGATTTATCATTTGTTTTGCTACTGAATGTTACTATTCTTTATTTTTTTAGTTATTATTATAAAATATAATTATTAATTAATGTTGATTATTTAATTAAATGCAATGTAAACAATTGCAATATAACCGTCCTTACTTCATTCATTAATTCTTATTTGTGTATATTATTTTTCTTATTTTCCCATAAACTTTTTTGCTAAGGAAATTAAATAAATGTTAATCATAAAAAAAAAATAGTTATTTTTCTTTTAATATATTTTTAGAGCAAAATAATAGCTTAATTAATATGATATGGTGCTAAATTTACTTATATTTTGAATGTTTAGTATTCAACTTACTCATTTTGTTTTGCTTTTGGGAATTGTATTTGGCACATTTAATTATTAGAATTTATCTTTATGTATATATTTTATTACTTAGTGTTAATTATATGAAATGTGGTTATTTAATAATAATTTTGTATTTGTTCATAGTGTATTTTAGTGGTATTATTTTATAAGTAAAAATTCGAAAGTCTAGGATTATATTCCTACTGCGATATATTAGTAAATTTGGTAAAAAATAATGTATTTCAACCATTAAATAAAAATATCAAACAATTAGTGGAGTACTTTTAATTCTGTCATGGGAAGAAGATAAACTTAAATAAATTTTTAATGATCTCAAAATTTTATCTTTAAAAAAATATTATTTTTATTGATAGATAAGAGTTTGACCAATGCATCCATTAAAGCAATCCAGGATTATCTTCAAAAGTTTTTTGAAAGTACCTAACCTTTTTTAGTGATTGATGGAACATTTTTAATCCTTTAACATAAAACTTTTATTATTGATAATTAAGTTGTACACTTTGAGGTTCAATATTCTTAAAATTTCCATTACACATTCTTCTAAAGTTAAGTCATTCTATTAAGAAAACAATTGTAAAATTNCATTCTTCTAAAGTTAAGTCATTCTATTAAGAAAACAATTGTATTATTGACAACAATTGTAAAATTAATTATTAAGTTCATTTAAACAGTTTTCTTAGAATAAAATTGTTAATACATTCATTATCATTATAGCATCCATAAAATTTAGTTCTTTAAAATTAGTGCTGCAAATTTTAATAACAAACAAATTTTATAGATATAGTGCCCAATTCGGTTATTGGTAGCCCCTAGTGACAATCTGAAAAAAATGTATAAATATGACATATTTTTATACAACAAAATGGTACTTTAACAAGATTGACGAACAAGATATTCAAAAACAAATTCATAATCTGAAGTCTGCCGTAGGTGTTTAATGGTTCTTATTTCCACATACTACTATTTATGTTGGTGAATTGATTAATTTTTTTATTGTAATAAGAATCGTGGCATCACAGGTCATTATTTTTATTAATTCTTATACACTGCTTACAAGCTAAATAAATTAACTTTGCTGCTTAATAATATTTTTGATTATACTTAATGTGGGTGATAATAACTATTAATGATAACAAAGCGTTGCCAGATTTAACGTTGTAGAAAAATTTATTTATACACAATGATTGTTATCATGATAATTTACTCATGATAAATAAAATCTTTTCTCCAACATCATTTATACAATTGTTTCAAGTTAACACTAACTAACTGAACAATATTATTTTATTAAAGACATTTATATTTCAATTTAAAAGTTAATTATGAATTCAATACTCAATCCTAATAAATACGGCCCAGGAAGTAAGTAATACTAGTTTACTATTAGTGCATATATTTTATATACATTTTTTTCTTCTAGTCAAGGGCATAATTAGACAAGGAATGCACGAAATACCATTAATCATGTTAGGTGCACCCTTTGCTATATTCGGTTCAGGACTTATACTGTGGCAAACATACAAGTATCATAAAAATGATGGAGTTAATAGAAAATATAAGCTTAAATACACTCGTAAGTTTTTTGTAATACTACATTGTTGATTCGCATTTTTCATTTATCAACTCGTTTAGTATTATTTCTGTTCATGAAAACTAGATTAACATAGATCATATTTAGTCAATTATTTAGGATAGCATACAAACAGAAAAATGTTATTTCTTTAAGTTGTTACAGAAATTTAGATAAAGGTTAGCATGTTAATATTATTAGTTTACAATAAAAAACTACATCATAAAAATACCATACATTTTTATTTAAGGTAAATTATGTGAAATTATATTTAAATATAACTTCACATAATTATTTAATATTAAATATTTAAAACTTATAAAATATGAAAAGTATCATTGGAATAAAATTCTATTGATATACTTATCGATGATCAATAATAACTTTAATTTTGATTTAAAAATCATAATTTTAGGACTTATGTTAGTCTAGTTCTTAGGTACAGATTTTTTCCATGACAACTTAAAATGAGTGGAATAATCCATAAGAAATTTAATTGTATAGTTTAATTAAATTCAGGAGCAAACAGTATCAATATAAAAATTTTACCATAACATTTAGTTTGTGTAAAATTACTGAAGGTTGGGAAATTATTCAAGCATATTATAACCTAAAAGTTTAAACTAATTATAGATAACTCAAAACGACATTTATAGCATACTGTGAGAGCTTTTAAGTGTATATTAATATAATATTTTAAGCTTTTAAAAACCCTATAAATTTGCTCTATGGTTATATTTTATCTGAAATGTATATATACATACTATGATGATATTGAAATAGATTAGTATTTTAAACATATCAAGTTCTTTAACATATTATAGAAAATATTCTAGATGACTACTCTGAATAATCATCATTCAAAAATTATTGGCATTATTATATACCTTTAACTTTTTTTGTATTCCTGTCAAATAAAGTGTATGTAATAATTTTTTTTTAAATTTTTTATGAAGTAATACATTAAAAAATAAAATAAACTATTTTAATATAATTTTACATATTACATAATTTTGTGAAGATTTTGCTTGATTTTTAAAGTAAATACGATTTACTCATAAATTTTAATTTTAAATGTTTTGACAAAAATTTAAAAGATTGCTGTTGCATGATGTTTAAAAAAATTAATTTTATAAATACCAAAACTTCAAGTTTATTTGTGAAAGCAATAATATTTTGATGTAATTTATTTATGAACATTTTTTTTTTCAGTTTACCGACCTGATGATCCTAGAGTGAAGTTTATCAGAGATTAAATTTGTTGATAAAATTACTGTTGAAGAAATAATGTTATTTAATAAATTAGAATTAAAAAAAAACTTTGTGTGTGTCAAGAAAACAAAGTATCTATATTCTAGAATAAACCTTTTACAATAAAAAAAACAAATCTATTATATTAGCTATTAGTTTTATTTTTGAAATAGTTTGGGCCATATGATCCAAGTTTTGTTGGATCTACTTGAGCAACATTATCCCGTCCAGTACGGACATTTAAAGGCAGAGTTTTCTTAATTTCTTTACTATCCCTTTCCATAATCAACTGTAAAAATATACATTACAGCATTAAACATATTGAGTAAACAAATGTATACTAACTTTCATTAATGGAGGTAGCTCAAATGAACCTGGTACTATTTTTACTCTAGGTTTACAATTAGCCAGTCGATCCCACCAATCTTGCTCTTCATCTTTAGGTATCAAACGATAATCTGGTTTATAGGATACACGAAATATTTCAATAGGTTCTTTATAATGGTTGCCACGAAATATTTTTTCAACATGAACAATTACCTTTCTGGCAGAATTTTCCTATAATAAAATATAATAATAATTAAAGTTTAAAGATAAGTATACTATTTAGTATAGGTTAGTAAAAAAAGGGTGTGAAACATCTATTTTGTATTAAATTTGTTCAAAGAATATGTTTTCAACTTTTTGTAAATAAAGAGTAAATATAACTATGATAAGTAACAAAGTTATAATTGAAAAAACATACTGTAAGTTATTATGGATAATTTAAAAAGTGAGTGTCTATTTGTAGTTTCAGCTGTATTTTAAATTTTGTCATGGAAAAATATCTCGTATAGAGATCACTACTAAAAAATTATTTCAACTCCTTGCTGTCTTAAGTTTTAAAATATACTAGTTTTTACAATTTTTTAAAAACGTAAATTCTTTTAAATTTGCAGTATTAAAACATACAATTCTAATACTTAAGGACTACCTTTTGGTATTTAAGTGGAGAAAATTTACAAGTTAATTACGGCTATAATTATTATTATTAAATATAATTACAATTTGAGCTGTGGGTTCAACAGCCAACACTTTGAAAAAAGAAGGTTCTTCGTAACGATCATATGAATTTCTAGTTATTAAGCGACCAACTCCAGCGTTCTTCAAATTGCCTATTATTTCCCATAATGTCTTACCATAAAGATTTGTGGCCCTACCAATCAGTTTAGGTGGCATTTCATTAATATATAATATAAACTAGAAGAACTGTTACACTAAATATGCATCAGTTTAACTACTAATCGTTTTACGTTCTGGTTTACTAAATATTGTAATATTATATTAATATCAGATATAATATTTTTCTGTATTATCATAGATAAGAAATATGCGGAATGAATAATTTTCTCCTCAAGTGGTTGAGCATGTATTTGATTTTGAGCTTATGGTTACACTGTCTAACGTTATCAGACCCCACCGCCATCACTAACGTTTTACGTGTTTTTATTATTTTACACTCGAGTTCCGTCGTGTAATGTCTTTTAGGGTTTCGATACGCCTTTTTTGAAGTGGATTGTAATGAAATCGCGCAACAGGTACTTGTAAATCGGCGATTATTGTTAGACAGTTTATAAAAATAATTAACCAGTGGTAATGACACGATATCCCGGTAGTTGACATCGGGAGTATACTAGGTTATCCGACTATGGCCAAATTGGAAATTAAAAGCAAAGTATGTTTGTATTATCTCAGAAAGTAATTTTACATTAATTTTAATTTCAATTTTGCTTTAGTTTGACGCTGAATTTCGTCGAATATCCTTACCTAAATCAGACGTTGGCACTTATGATCAATTTCGAAGTCTTATTGAGCGATTGCATAAATTGATTGAAGTACCATTTGTTTTATCATATACCGATCCAAAAGATGGTGACTTATTACCCATAAATAATGATGATAATCTTGGACGTGCAGTACTAACAGCTAGACCATTATTAAGGATAATTATTCAACGCAAAGGTTAGTAAAGACTTAATAAATAAATTTAATTTCCAAATTTTGATCTTAGAAATTGAAATCTTACATATCATTTTTATTAAGATTTTACTATTCATTAATGATAACTAAATATTCAAAATGAAGATATTTTTTATTTGTGATTGAATTTGATATACTTCACAATTGTTATTTAATCGTTTAAATTTTTTAATTAGTTATTTTGATAATTCATATAGTTGATATTTTAGAAAGATATAATTAAATTTTAATCATAGGATTTTATTACTTACATAAAATTAACAACTTTTATTTTGAAGATTTTTATGTAAGTTCGAGTATGGTTTTTATGTATTAATTCATTAAAATGTTTAATACATTTTTGTGTTATTTTAAACACCAATTAAGATACAATTATTCTATTATATTTTGTAAAAGTTTAATATTGTTTACTTAAGTAATTTTCAGACTAGTTGAAGTTTTATGTTTTAAAGAAAATTTTAAAATATTCAGTTCAATAAACTTCATTCTATCTTCCATTGGTTATTATAGGTTTATTTATTTCCCTTTACTTATAATTGCATAATATTCATTGTCTTAGATAAACAATAATTAAATGTGAACAAGTGACTTTATTGTTTGAGAACCATTGAATTAAACTAAGCAGGTGTTGAGATGGAGTTCCTGTTGAATGTCTATACAAAAGGCCAACAATAGTTATTACTCAATATGTGTAAACATATGTGTAATTGCTAGACATGTGAACTAATCGAAGTGTAAATTTGAACAAAATTAAATTCAAACAAATTAATTTTTGTAATCGTTAAATTAAAAAAATTGAGTTAACCTTCTTAATTAGATTAGTTAATTTTTCATAAATAATTATTTTTACCTTATTGTGATATGTCTTGAGAAATTTTTCAATTGATAAGCTATTAGATATTAGAACAATAATAATATTCGTTAGTTTAAAAAAATTTTCACGTTGATTTATTCAAAGGACCCGCCAACTTTTATTTAAAAAATCTTGGTTTAAATAATTCATTGAGTTCGCAAATATTGAAGGCGGTTTTTATTAGTTGCAAACATTTTGATGCTATTCATTTGTGTAGGTTAATCATGAAGTCTGTTTCATAATAATTTATTTCTGCTACATCACGTAGAAAATAGCTGAATAATGTGTAATTTTATTTTTATTTCATTTTCACTAATATACTGTGCAATTATCAAAAATCGTAGAAACTAATGATTTTAACTGATGTTAAATTAATTTAAGGAAGCGATTTGGCATCAGATTCAAGGGCAGTTCTCACCTTTGTTTATATCTGAAAAATATTTCTTGTCTACGATGTTCCTTATAGCTAACTATCGCGATAGTTGGTTTAACAGTTTTATTTGTATTTTTCAATCAATCTGGAATAGGTATTATGATATCACCGAGTGACTATGTTATTATATTGTGTAGTAATAAAATTGCGTGCGTTCATTATGATGATTCGATGAATGTCTGGAGAAAAAACAAGAAATGAGTCATGGTGTTAATCCGAGCACGAGAAACCCACCGAACATGTTGCGTCATTGTAATATTATTATGATAATAATAGTGGCAATCTAGTCCGTGTAAGCAAAAAGGAAGACGATCCTTGCATTCTTTTCATTTGTATTGGAATAATATTAAGAAGTCCGTTAACATTTAATTGTTCTATAAACAAACGCAAAAATGTCCTTACATTATTATTTTATGCTATAAAACCGTTTTTGTTTGTTCCGACAAAGAAAACGACCGGAAATGCGTTGCTGTCGCAAGTAAACAAAACAAATTTGTGGCCTCCGCAAAAAACTAGTTTTAACGACCGGCTGCTGACATTATTACCTATAAGTATTTATTATCATATCATTTTTGTATTGAATTGAATTGTATTTGTCAGTATCTCGACTGAAGTCGAGATATGGACTAGTTCCAGTCGTTGACAAATGAAGTGATTTCAATTATTAGCGCTCGTTAGTATTTGAAAAAGAAATTTGATTCTTAACAGCCGAGAATACATATCGATTGCTTTCTAAAAAAGGTTTTAAGTTTGTCCAGTATTTATCCAGTATCTTTATTTCGAGTAATCATATTTTGATGTGTCTAAAATATAGGTTTTAAAGTAAAAGTTAATTCAATTGAGTGAAAATAATGGAAAAAATGTGTTTTTTTTTTATCATAATTGATTCTAATACTAATACTGTTCATATATGCACGTGAAAATTATTTAAATAGTTTTTATTTTTAAATATATTAGTATGGACATACTAAATATGTTTAATTAAGCAGTAGCACACATTTCGGTCTTGCTTGTGATTCGCATTTTTTTCTATTTATTAATACATTCTTTAGCAGAGCGCCTTATTCTGATATCACCGTGCATGGATTACCTTGTTGAGGAATTTTGAATTCCAAGTTGTGGAAGTATTTTTGATGTTTTACTGTGTAGGTTGTAAATGCAAAATTTTACAGTTTTTAAATGAATTTCTATACTTAATTATACAATATAAAAATCTTTATTAAAAACCAATTTATTTTTCGGAACTTGTTTTAAATATTGACATAATGTACATATTTTCTATTGGTGTCGTTACAACGATCTATAAAGACTTCGTTGTCATTTGTCGTTTGATGGGTGAATGACCAGCATAAATAATAATAATGCGGCCGAGCAAGCGGTCAAGATAAAAATAAACAAGAACAAATTTTTGTTCTTAGGATCAGATATGAGTTTCTAGTACGCTAGTAACACTAACAAACCATCCATAAACCTTGTGTGGTTGGTTAGTTAGTGTTGTTTCGATTGAAGTTTTTTTTCCTTAGTTTTTTATGGGATGAAAATAATAAAAATAATATTATTGCTGTCTAAACGAATCTGGTTAACAACGTATGAGTAAGTATGTTCACCGAAAATAACTTGCCGATCCACTTGGAAGACGTTCAAGTCATTAAAATGGTCAGGTAGACGGTTTCTAAACGACATCTGTCTAATTTCTAAAAACTCTTTTTTCTGGGGGATAATCGTCTGTTGTTATATATGCGTGTTTTGCTCACCGTAAATTACTAAAAAACAGTATACCTACTAAAATTAGTGCCCTTAGAATTATTGTATAATTCCACATTTGATTACTTTTTAAGTGTTTCTTCAACTGAAGTAAACATTTTGGTTTAAGTACGAAATAATATGGTAGATTTAAAATAATTCGAGCAGTATCCGGCACAAACGATCAGAATGGTTGCCTTAAAATTTATCTTTTTACGAATAAAAAAGAAATATCTTCATCAAAAGCATAGATAAAAATTATTTATAGGGTTTCTAATTTATGAAATTCACATTTTTTCCCTATTGTTTTTAATATAATTTACTAAAATGTAAACAAATTTCTTATGAACCTCCTTTACTTATGTCTATGATTTTTATCATTAACTAAGTTTAATAGGTATAGCGTTATAGAATTTTTCACTACTTCTCCACACTGGGCTTAAGATCAAATTTTATTATTTATAAAATATGTACTACAAGTTCTTCTTAATTATAAAATGTATTATTTTCTACTTTATTATTATATTGTTTACTTCACTTACAACAAAATGATACTTTTTTAATAATTGGAGTTGTAAATATACTTTTCTAAATTAATTATTCGCGCTGATTTCAAATCTGAAATTGAATTTTCTATCGCCTCTAGTTTTTGAGATAATTACTAATTAGTAAAAAACGTAAAAGATATAAATACAAAATTAAAAATGAATAAAATCGCGTTGGTGTTGACTTAACTGTTCCTAAAATTATTCACATGGTTTTCCTTTGTTCAACATCCACAGAGTTGCAAAGTTATGGCCTCCCATTTTGGGGCGTAACATTTTATATTATAGGATGTTTTGTAAAAACTAGTTACTATTGTTCTCATTGTTTGTAACAACTGATCTGTTTCTTCACTTTTTAAACACTCCGAATATATAAAAAAAATTTATGTATTAAATAACTTGTTTCTTAATAGTAATTATTATTACTAATTATAAGTAATTATTTAAAAAAATAGAGAATATAAAAAATATAATTGAAGGTTCGAGATCGGCGCAAAAAATTTGTATAGAAAAGTATATTTTCTTCTCTGATGAAGATTCCTCGTTGACCAGTGTATTCATTTTATTCTTTGTCAATAATTGTATGTGATGGTATTATAGGAGAAAGTCTAGAAGAGTTAAATGGTTATGGAACTTATAAACCTCGAAATATAATATCTTCAATTTTAGGAGGAACACCTAGTAAAGGAAAACATTTATGGATATCTAATCCTCAAGATTTCCGACAAGTAATTAAATATCTATTTGAAAATTGATATATACTATTTAATTTATTAATAATTAAGTATTTTTATTAAAAAATCTCCTGTTTTTTTAGGTATCTGCGATCATTGATGTAGATGTAGTTCCAGAAACATGTAGGCGAGTGAGATTGCTTAAACATGGTTCTGAGCGACCTTTAGGTTTTTATATTCGAGATGGTACTAGTGTAAGAGTTAGTACATCAGGTGTTGAAAAAGTACCTGGAATATTCATATCGAGGTTAGTTCCTGGAGGTTTAGCTGAAAGTACAGGTTTATTGGCTGTTAATGATGAGGTTCTAGAAGTTAATGGTATTGAAGTAGCTGGAAAAACTTTGGATCAAGTAAAATTTATTAAGATAATTAATTGAATTACTTTTATAACTTTAAATTTTTTTTAGGTAACAGATATGATGGTAGCTAATAGTCATAATTTAATTGTAACTGTTAAACCAGCAAATCAGCGGGCAACTATGTCAGCACCAAGGCGAGGATCGTTATCAAGAACGTCACAATTATCCAGTGGTTCACATCAGTCAACACATAGTGTTGCTACCACAGTTAACACTTCTGAAGAAGACGATCAAGATGAAGTAGTTGATTTAACTGCTGGTTTAGCTTTACAGGCGGTTAATGATTCCACTTCTACTACTATTACTTTGGACCAATAATTTAGAAGATATTCAAGGTGAAATAACTTAATCGTTTTGTGCCTTAAATGAAAAAAGAGCTCATTATAATATAACTGTTAAAAAAACTATTAGCATTCCAAAATGAAGCATTATTTTGATGCTATGATTAGAGATTGTCTTCCATTTAAATTTTTTATTATTGAAATGTAAATACATATGTATATAATGTTGAATGAAAAACAATAATATGATTCACACATTTATAAGTCAAGATTTAAAAAACTTAAATATAAGTGAAATTATTAAATCTTGTTTAAAACACTTCCTTTTTTTAGTATACTATAGATTTAAATTTGATAAAATTAAAGCAGTACTTAATATTAATACTTAATTATATTACACTATGTTACATATATAAAAATGACAATTATTCATTGTTTCATAATAACGTATTTCAAGGAAAGTATAGTTACTTTACTTAAAAAAAAATTTTCTTAGATATTTTTATTGCAATACGTGCACATTTATTTGGTTTTTTGATCTCATTTCAAATAAACTTCAGTATTAAACAAGTAGTATTATTCATAATAATTTAGAATCTGTATTTAAATATATAACATTCCAGCCAAATAATAATTGAAAATTCACAATTACTGTTTCAGATAGTTATTCTTATATTATTTACTTGTTTAGTTAAAAACAGAAATGAGTATAATTCAAACTATTAATTGGCACATAAAAAAAAATCACATTTTGGGGTTTTTTTTTATTATAATAATATTATTACATGATAAATAGTTATCCTATACTATTTTCTAATGTATTGTGACAAATAATTTGTATGAAACAATTTCAATAATAAAAATTGTAACTTGATACATAAGTTGATTTTTGTTAAATTATAAAATTAATTAGAAGTGTGATTTTCTACACATTTCCGTCCAATTTATCATTGTTTTTTAATGTCACATATTTAATATTTATAAGTATTAAAGGTTTATCTATAAAAAATAAATAACATATAATATAAATTGTTTTCTTTTATAAACCAACCAAATTGTATAGATTATTACTATATACATGTTATTATATATTTTTAATTAATTTAGTATTCATATTAGTTAAATTTATTAAGTAAGAAAAACTATTAAAAGTGTCATTTTTATATTCTAATTAATTTTTATATATATATTTTTTTATCAATAAAAATATATGAATAACTTCTTACATTAACAGGAATAACTTTTGATACATATGAACTATTTGTGATACTTAAATTCTAAATATGTTGAAAATTAACTTAATATACTTATTGATAAATAGTCATATGTTTCCATAATTCTATTTCAATTATAAATACTTATTTTTAATTTTTCAATATAATCAACTGTATTAGTTGTAATATATATTATATATACTTTAGCACTGGCTGAATAATTATTGTATAATTAGCCTAAATAATTGTCTTTGTTTTAATTTATTATTAACTAAAATATTTTCCATTCAATTTCAGTATTTCATTTTTGTTTTTAAAAGTAAAATGCTCAATCTTAATATACTGGAAATGTATCTTAGTTCTTTTTCAAAAAAAAAAAAGTACTGAGATACACTTCTCAGTTCACTTTTGTAGTTAATGTTCAATGTGTATTCATTGAAACAAATAATGTTTATTCAAATGTTTAGAAGGATTAATAATTTTCACTATACTACCTTTTTAATAATTTTATTAAACAATGTTGTTATATTTTTACATTAGCAGAATTAATAACTTAATTATATTTTTTAATTTTGCCAACAGTGTTAGGCATGTTCTATACGATCTCTTCTGACCAATTGTCAATTTTTAAAAGCTTTATTAAAATTTATTTTTAAAAATAGTTTTATCATAATATAAATGTACTTAAAACACATTGAAATAAATATTTCTGTTATACCACTACATAAGTTATATGCGAGATCCATGGAGTTTGTATATTAAAATTTTTTGTAAATATGACATTGTTTATTAGTTAATAATTTAAATTAACTTATAACTCATGTATAATAAACATGTATTCATTATACTTATATATTTGATATTATCATTAAACAGTTTAAAGTTAGACTCATTAATTTATCTACATTACTTTTTAATATTTGTGTAAGTTGTATTGCCTTTTGTTTATTATGATATTTTATGTATCAAGTTTAACTCAAATGATATATGTATTATTATTATTATTTATTTTTAATTGGTATATTATTTCCATATGAATTATTATTTATGTTCTATTTGATATGATTATTGCATTATTGATTTTGATTTATTATAATTTAGTCAATACTATTAATGTTGGGTATTTATGCAGTCGAATTTATCAGACTTTTATCTTTCTATGTACTGTTATAATATAATAATAAAATGAAGATGTTATCTTCATTGTTTAAGACTTGTTCTATTAGTGAATTACTAATGTTGAACATTTATATGCTATTAAATTAAATAGAGTTAATCTTCTTCCTTGCCTTAATCCCAATTACTTGGGGGGTCAGCCACTCTTATCCTAAACTTCTACTTGACACAATCTCCCACATCAGTTGTCATCATATCGAATTCAATAGCATCCCTCCATCTCTTTTTTGGTCTTCCTCTACCTTTTCTTCCTTCATTCATTTCAATTACTGTTCTTTCAGCTTCCGATTCTTCTCTCTTCATAACATGACCAAACCATCTAAATCTATTTTCTCTGATCTTATCCACGATTGACGCTACACCTATACTCCTTATATGCTCGTTCCTTATTCTATCTTTTCTAGTCACTCCACTCATCCATCTAAGCATTCTCATCATCTCTGCTACACTCATTCTCTGCTCTAATTTCTTATCAACCGCCCAATACTGAACAATACATAATAGCTCTGGCCTCACTATAATCTCGTAGAATTTACCTTTCAGCCTCATTGGAATTCTTTTATCGCATAAGACGCCAGACGCTTCTTACCACTTTAACCACCCGCACTTAATCCTGTGTCATTAATAGCAACTTTAAAACGTCTCTCGGTATTCTATCATACGCTTTCTCCAAATTTATAAATATACACAGCTTTTCCTTATACTATTCTATTAGTTATCTCATATAAAATAGTAAAAATTAATCATTCATTAATAATTGTCAAAATAATAATTTAATCCACCTTACTATAAATAACATGTTATTATCTATGGTTTTAAGTTGATAACTAAATGTTTTAAAACGAAGAGGAAAAAAATTTAATTCTTAATAATAAAAATGTATATATTTTATAATATCATATACTAATGTTACAAGCATTACGTTATTTTGCTATCTTTGTTATAACACGTGTGTTGAGTAATCTATGATAACAAACTGAAAATAATTCATGTTACTTATAATTATGTTTTTTTTTTTACAATATAACTCTACGATTTTTAATTAAATAATTATTTATTACATGATAAAATTATTACAAACTACTTACTCGATTTGGTATCCTAATCTAATGATTAGGTGTCTATATTCAAGTCAACGTTCAATTATTTGCCTTTACTTTGTTGACATGCCATTTTACGCTGTTGTATTTAGAACAACCCAGAGTGGTGCTGTAGCTCAGGATTGGTATATAATTAAATATATTGTCTTAATAATTATTACTATAGTTATATTGTTCTGTGAAACTTAATCAATTATTATTTCATAAAATTATGACTTTTTACTAATAAAATATTATAATTTTTGAAACCTTAGGCCTTCAGCACTGAAATGGAAAGATACAGTTCCAAATTCATACGCTAAAAAATTTTCAACAAAAAATGAAGCTGAATCTTATTTAAAAAATATGAGTTTTGAGATTCTTTATGATATAAATAAATTTCTTAGTGGAAATTATAATAAAGGAATAAAGAGGAAAAATAATGAAGATGGATTACTGAAATATGTGGATGATGTATGTATCTAATTTTTTTTTTTTTAATTTGTTTAATGTTTTCAATATATATATATATATTTCTGTATCTAGTTACATCAAGTATTTTTACAAATGGAATCATATGTGATGAATAGTCCTAAAATTAGTGAAAGTTGTAAAAAACGATTAAAATTAATTGGAAAAGAGACTTTAGAAAGAATTAAAAATCTAGTTAAAGAATGTGAAAAAAACGATGAGGTTCCATCATCAAAAATTCACAAGTGGTTTGTACAATCTTATTTAAAGTATAATAATTAAATGCATAGTTTACATTATTGTATATTTCTCTATTTTACTTCTCAGTGACTAAGAATCAAAAATTTAGAAATCTTTTCAGTTATATGTATTTAATTTTGTCCTATCATTCAATTAAAAATAAGGGTTCCATTAAAGAAAATTAAAGTTTAGTTTTTTAATCTAGAGGATGAAAAAAAAATTATTTAATTACATATTATTGTAGAGATTTTTGAATCAAACAATTTTTTCTTAATGAATATAAAATATTGAATAGTTTTTAAAAGAAATTTGTATCCAAAAAATGATATTTTTAGGGGTTGAATTATTTTTTCCAAAAAACTGTATTATTTTCCTTAAACGTAATAATTTATTTTTCTTTTATAAAATTATAGTGAATTAGAAAATGAATTGAACAATGGACAAAATGCAATAAACATAACTCATCAGCCTCATTCATCTGGCAATGATAATAGTGATTTATTAAAAAGAGCAAGTAATAAATATATGACATAAGTTATTAATTATCAGTGAAAAAAAAGCTAGTGTAACCGATTTCAGTTTATAATTATTCAACTGTATTAAAAAATTTTAGAAAGAAAAATTTTAAAACATTAGTCTATTAGAAAAATTGTTCTAATAATAATAATAAATTCAATCCTTACTTTATCATCTAAGTAAATTTTTCTAGCATACTATATTATATAGCTGTCGAACCAAAGACTTTATTTTGACTATATATTTCTAGCTGGCTGAATAAAAAATTTAAATAAAATGTGTTTTTTGAAGAGGTATCCTAAAAACTTTTCACTCTACTATTAATTCACCAAATTAACTATTTTTTAGCTTCGATGCGAAGCTGAGAAGGTATTGGTTTTACTAAGATGTGTTTTTTTTTTTTTGTGTCTGTTACCACTTTTTCTCAGCTCTCACCGAACCGATTTCTTTCAATGATACGTCAAAAGATCACAAATCGTATCTAGTCGAAGACATTACCCTCAAAAATTGAAAAAAATTCCCTCGTTCCCCGTAAATGGGGGAAACCTCCAAAAAAATTACAAATTTAAAAATCGCTAATTTTCGAAATTTTTTCAATTTTTTTTTAATAAAAGCTGCCGTAACTTTTTTAAAAATAAACATATCAATATAATTCTTTTTTTTATAGATGCATGATGTCATTACCTATCATTTGGTATATATTTTTGATAAATCTGACTTTTTACCTGCCCACGGGGGGGTATTTAAAATGACAACTTTTTCAACTTAAATTTAAAAAGTGTTCCGGAAGGTCTGACACTTTTATATATATCTTAAATTAAAGCTAATGTAATATACTTTATTATGAAAAAAAAAAATTTCGGACTTTATTTTATCTTCATGGTGAAAATGGCTACCGAATGCTATTTTTGTGTGAAAATTTTCGATTTTGTATTTTCCATTTTTAACTTTATTATGCTATAACTTTTTGAAAAATGTATGAATCATTACAATTTTTTTATGAGAAGTAGTATTTATATAGATCTTTCATTCGACATACTGTTTTTTTAAATCGGACCATTTCCCTAAATACAGGGGGGATTCAAAACATAAAAATGCATATAGAAAGTAGAACTTTTTCAACGTAACTTTTGAAAGTGTTCCGGAAGGTCTGACACTTTTATATATATCTTAAATTAAAGCTAATGTAATATACTTTATTATGGTAAAAAAAAATTTCGGACTTTATTTTATCTTCATGGTGAAAACAGACATTAAACTTAATAAAAAAAATACGATTTTTGTAAAAAAATTCTTTTTTATATTTTTAACTTTATAATGCTATAACTTCTCGAAAGATGTATGGATCAATATAATTCTTTTTTTTGTAGATGCATGATGTCTTTACCTATCATTTGGTATATTTTTTTTATAAATCTGACTTTTTACCTGCCTACAGGGGGGGATTCAAAATGACAACTTTTTCACAAAAAATTGACTTTTTCAACTTAAATTTAAAAAGTGTTCCGGAAGGTCTGACACTTTTATATATATCTTAAATTAAAGCTAATGTAATATACTTTATAATGATAAAAAAAAATTTCGGACTTTATTTTATCTTCATGGTAAAAACAGACATCAAAGTGGATAACAAAAATACGATTTTTGTAAAAAAATTCTTTTTTATATTTTTAACTTTATAATGCTATAACTTTTTGAAAGATGTATGGATCAATATAATTCTTTTTTTTGTAGATGCATGATGTCTTTACCTATCATTTGGTATATTTTTTTTATAAATCTGACTTTTTACCTGCCTACAGGGGGGGATTCAAAATGACAACTTTTTCACAAAAAATTGACTTTTTCAACTTAAATTTTGAAAGTGTTCCGGAAAGTCTGACACTTTTCTATATATATTAAATTAAAGCTAATGTAATCTACTTAATTATGTAAAAAAAAAAATTACGGACTTTATTTTGTCTTCACGGTGAAAATGGCTACCAAATGCTATTATTGTGTGAAAATTCTCGATTTTGTATTTTACATTTTTAACTTTATAATATTATAACATATTGAAAAGTGTATGGATCAACACAATTTTTTTATGAGAAATAAAAATTTTTAATAAACCCTTTTTCATTTGAAATACTTTATCTTAATCAAGATATTAATAAGGAACTAGCAGATCATGTAGCTTTTGGAATAATCCACCAATTTTTTAAAATTAAACACTATCTAAAGATTTGCATCGAAGCGTTTTTTTTTTATAGTGATTTTAATCACTGTCAGATANGTTTTTTGATAGTGATTTTAATCACTGTGCCGCGACCTCGCTTGTGTTGGGCTTTTTTTTTTTAATCTGTAAAAATATTTATAAATGTCTAATAGTCAAAATGTACAATTTAATAACGTTGGTCAAACTATATTAAATTAATAATAATTTTAATATAGTTTTAATTTTATTTAGCCACAAGTAATCAATTCTTATTATATAACTTTATGTGTTGGTTTTAAATTTGTAATGAAAATTTTCTATCATCATTAGATTTTTAGTTAAATACTTATTATTAAGAAATGACACATAAAAAAGTAAATTAATAATTAAAATACATTTTTTAAAATCATTATTGATTTTGATCTTTGATCAGTTAAAAATTATCAGTGCAAAATTACGGTCAATAATATCATATTTATATTTGATAAAAATAATAATGAAACTTTAAATTACGTAATTCATTATTATATGATGACACATATTATTATTAAATTTATATATAATTATATAAATTTTTTTTAATCAAAATAATTTTTATAATTTTCATGTAACATAAAAATTAATCATTTAACTACGAAATTTAAATAAATTTAGGAAATTGTAATAATATAGCTGGATTTAAATTCAGTAGAAATGAACTGGAATTTACATTAGTGAAATCCAAACACACGTGTGATTATTTATAAATTTTATTAGAAATCAACTTTAAATGATTACAAACATAGTATTTTATACCAAAATTATGCACAGTTCATTTTTAACATATCAACTATCAATATCAATAATAATAATAATAACTTGAAAAAAAAAAGTTTTTACTTATTAGTAATAATCTTAAAAACTAGAAATTATCAAAATGTTTTTGATGCTAACATAGTCATAAAAAGTGTAAGAACTTTTGTTTACTTCTGCAAGACAGCAACTATTTTCTCTGATTAGTCAAACAACTTTGATATTATCACAATGTTATTTAGCATATATAGTGATCATACGCATGGGATAACTTGAAAATTTTGTTGGTGAAGCTATAAACTCATATTCTATTACTTAGATCTGTATAATAGATCTAGGGAATCTTTTCAATTATACATTTATTTAATTTTTCCCTTCTTTCTTAAAAAAATACAGTTTCTTTTGTGGGTGCTACAAATAGGTCAATGAAGAATAAGGTTGTAGCTTACATAGTCTCTATGCTTGTTATGCTAATGTTCATACAATCTTTATAGCTTATATTGAATTATAGCTAACATATAAATTCATTAGTATTGAAAAGGGATAGTTTATTTAAATGATAAACGGTTAATTTTAGAAGTTTATAAATAAAAAAAATTATAGTTACATACAAATTATTACAAGCTATATTAGCATTCATCAAAAATTTGTTTTGTGTCAATTACTTTATACATTTTTTTATGACATTATTAAATTGTAGAAGAGTTGTTTAAGTTTAACAGTAGCAATGAAGTTATAGTATACACAGATGGAGCTTGTTCGAATAATGGAAAAAATCAAGCAATGGCAGGAGCTGGAGTATTTTTTAGTCACAATCATCCATTGTAAGATTTATTTTATATTTAATTTATATCATTATTTAACAAAATTTACAAAAAAAAAAAAAATTGAATTAATAATTCTGCTTTATTTCAATTGTTTTTTTTTTTTTTTTTTTTTTTAATTTTAATTTAAATTTTTAAATGTGTNTTCAATTGTTTTTTTTTTTTTTTTTTTGATAAAATTTGAATTTAAATTTTAAAATGTGTTAAGTTTTTTTATATAATAATCTTATTGTGAAGTTAACTATTTTTATCATATACATGAGATTACAGAAAGACAAAATAATTCTAATTATTTTTCGGTTGGTGGTAATTAAAAGATTATTTGATGTCTTCTGAGTTGTAATTTTTGTAATTACATCTACACACTCCAAATGTGTGTTGCATCCACAATGAATAAGTAAAGGAGTCGTTATACTTAAAAATATGGAGGAAAGATATTATTTTCTTTATTAATTTACAGTATAAATACAATTTATTTGTATTGCATTTGTATATTCATATAAATACAATGAAAATAATTTCATTATTTTAGTCCATAATTACTCGCTTATAAAAAAACTAGCTCAATTTTTTTTTTTTTTTGGTTTTTAAAATAATTTGTGTAAAAAAAAATATTAGAACAATTATTTTTCTAATGTTAACACTTTTAGCCACTTAAATTTTAGTCTATTACTTTATTTCAAAATAAGCCTGATCTGTAGGGCTGGTTTAAAATTTTTGTAGGGAGATATTAGAAAAAAAAAATCTTTGTTTGAATAGTAAATTAATTGAACTTTTTCGACCTCATATTCTTGTTTAGTTTATAACTGTTATTAGCTTCGATGCGAAGCTGAGAAGGTATTAATTTTACTATGATGTGTTTTTTTTTTGTGTTTATTACCACTTTTTCTTAGCTCTCACCGAACTGATTTCTTTCAATGATACGTCAAAAGATCACAAATCATATTTAGTCGAAGATATTACCCTCAAAAATTGAAAAAATTTCCGTCGTTCCTCGTAAATGGGGGAAACCTCCAAAAAAATTATAAATTTAAAAATCGATAATTTTCGACATTTTTTCAATTTTTTTTACTTAAAACTGCCATAACTTTTTCAAAAATGATCAAATCAATATAATTTTTTTTTTATATAGATGCTTGATGTCTTTACCTATCATTTGATATATTTTTTTTATAAATTTAACTCTTTACCAGCCCACGGGGGGATTCAATATGACAACTTTTCACAAAAAATTAATTTCTTCAACTTAATTTTTGAAAGTGTTTCAGAAATACTGACACTATTATATATATCTTAAATTAAAGCTTATGTAATATACTTTAATATAAAAAAAAAAAATGTTGGACTTCATTTTGTCTTCATGGTGTAAATAGCTACTGTATTCAAAAATATGATATTTTTGTGTTAAAATTCTTGGTTTTATATTTTATTTTATTATAAGGGGATTACACTGATTTTCATAAATATTATATCAATGTAATTGACATAGTATAAAACGTTAAACATACTTAAATTTCATTGTTTCTTTGAAGTCGAGAAAAAATAACTTTGAAATTTGAACTAGCTAAATTTCCATTTTTATTAAGTGAAGAATGCGACATACGATTTCTAAGACGGTAACACTTGGGTCTTCACGCCTGTGACACTGAATTTTTTCTTAATTCTTTTTGAGTTAGAAAAAAACGTTTAACTCATTTGATTTTTATCTCATTTAGATTCAATAACTTCAATAAATATCATGGATCCCATTACTGTAGTCTCCTCTCGTGAGAAGAAATTCATATTAATATTATTTTACTGTGTGGTTTTCTTTTGTAGCTATCATTTATTTTCTCAGCTCTCACTTGACCTACTTTTTTGACAAATTTTTTTTTTAAATTAAACACTATCTACAGATTTGCATCGAAGTGTTTTTTATGGTAGTGATTTTAATCACTGTCAGATATCATCTATACTGGACCCAACTATGCCATGACCCCATTGTGCCACCACCCCACTGTGCTGGGTTTTTTATGTGATTAATGATTTAAGGAGGGTGCTGTAGTACCCTAGTACATCCCCCTAAATCCGCTACTGTGCCTTAGATAGACAATAATTGTAAGAAGTTGATAATTTAAAATTTTTAATTAAAATAATAAATAGATGAATAATTAATTTTTGTTTAGAGCTAGGAAAGCGAACAACTGAGATTTTTGTTTATACTGGACCATAATAAGATTTTGATGGCTAAGGATAATTTTACCTCTCTTGAAAATTTTTTTTATTATAATCTATTAAAGGCAATGCTTTATAGTTGATGCCAAATTCTTCAATGAAACAAGATGTACAGTTCATGATTTCCAGGATATGTTCAAAATATTGTTTCCTTGGGCATTTACTTGGTTTCTTCCCCCAGTTATGTTTCCTTCAAAGATGTTGATTATAAAGTCATTGTGTCAGATGATGTATCCGATTAACTTCATTTTTAACACGCTTTTATTAGTTTCACGTGTATGTTTGTTGTTGTTTGTTGTTTGTTGTTTGTTTGTNCTTGATTCAATCACCTTCAACAGCTGTTTTTCTTCTTGTACTTCTTCTAGCTCTTGCTCATTTCTTTTCTTATTTATACAGTTTGTCTTTGTCGTTTTTTTACATATCCATAACTCTAATGTTCTAGTTTGCTTCTGTTTTCTTATCAATTGTTCATGTTTCACTGCCATATGAAAGCACACTCCAGACAAATGTTTTAACAAATCTTTTATGTATGCTAATGCTTATATGTTTATTGTTAAAAAGCTAATTCTTGTTTTGGAATGCTTGTTTTGTCAATGCTATTCTTCTTCTAATGTCTGGTATTGATTTGTTATTGGAAGTTCTGATACTTTCAAGGTAGCAGAATTCTCAGATCTGTTGTAATTGTGTATTGTTTATTTGTATATTAAGATTTTGATCTGAGTGCATTTGACTTATAAACATTATTTTGGTTTTTATGAAATTTATTTTAATTTTAAATTTATCAAGTTTACTTGCTAGAATTTTTAGCATATTATTCATATCAAGTCCAGATTCTGCTATTATAACTATGTCATTTGCAAAGCAATTACAGTGTACATTTTGGCCATTTATTTTCATTCCTTTGGTCTTTGTTTTCATTATATCTATGCTCATTTCAATAAAAAGATTGAATAAATAGGGTGACACTTATCACTCCTCTCCTTATTCTTGCTTCTTTTACCAATATATTTACATTTATTTATCTTGTTTGATTTTTATATAAGTTGAAGATGAGCTATCTATTTTATCAATCAATTCCTATTTCTCTTGATATCATTAATAAGATTCTCCAGTCCACTTTCTCAAAAGACTTCTCTAGATGTATGAATGATGCTAAAGTAATCTTATTCAGTATAAATTTTGTCTCTAGGATCTGTCTTGATACAAATATCACTTCTCTTTTTCCTCACCCTTTTCTAAATCCAAACTGAACTTTCGATATATTTTCTTTTATATTCTCTCTCAATTTATTCTTGATAATGTATTTTTGATAAAGTTTTTTGAAGTGTGAGAAAGGAGCCCTATAGTTTTATAGTTTTCACATTCTGTTGCATTGCTTTTCTTCGGAATTGCTACTTTTGATCAAAATCCAAGGGTTGATTTATGCTATTGTAGCTATCTTTAATAATTTTAAACAATTTATATTTTGTTTTTCCCCTATATATTTTCAGTAGTTCAACTGGGATATTGTCAATTCATTGAAAATTTATTTAAAGTACAAAAATGATTTATAATATAAACTTACAAGTTCAAACTTCTGCTCGAATAGAATTAATAAAATAATTAATTTACTGGAATATCAAAAAAATAAAATGTATTGGATAAAGATTAAAATCTTAAAATCATTTAAATTCATAATAGTGTTTTTTTTTTGATAAAATTTGGATTTAAATCTCAAAATATTTTAAGTTTTTTTAACAAAATTTTATTATTTATATTTTTTATTTTATTTATTTAATTATATAATTTTTTCTGGTGTTAATGATTTAATATAATTTATTGAAGGAATTTATCAAAAAAAGTTCCAGGAAACCAAACAAATAATAATGCAGAAATATATTCAGTTATATTAGCAATAGATCAAGTCAAATCAACTGGTAAATTATCATTTATTACAAAAATAATGTTTTGTTTAATAATTTTTAGTGAAATTTTTTCATACATTTTCAATTAGGTGTTGGTAAAATAAATATTCATACAGATTCAAAATTCGTTATTCAGTGTGTTACAGAATGGATGCCAAGATGGAAAGTAAATGGATGGAAAACTTCTGACAAAAATCCTGTAAAAAACAAAGAAATGCTTGAGATGCTAGATAAAAAAATACAATTAATGGAAATTGTTTCTTGGGTAATAATTATGATAATTAAAAAAAACGTCATATGATTTAGAATAATTAAAATTATTGACTCAATATTCTATGAAAGTTCTCATAAAGGGCATAAGAAAAAATCCTATAAGTATATGAAACTTAAAACTTTAAAAAATTGCCTTCATTAATAGATAAAAAATTATAAATTTTTGTAAACATCAAATTTCATTTAATTACACCTTCTATAAGGTCTTTTAATGATATATTATGTGTCAAAATTTTTATAAATTAGGTTAAGATTGACTAGAAGCTTTTATCACTCCTATTTTACTTGTAAACATTGATTTATTTTTATTTTTCTTTGTTACTATTATAATAGATATTAAAGCCTATCTTTAAAAATATCTTAATACTCTTAATAATGTTAATGTTAAATTTATATAAATAAATGAGTTGTTATCTGTTTTAGACACATGTACGGGGTCATCAAGGAATAGAAGGTAATGAAGCTGCTGATAAGTTAGCTCGTCAAGGTGCAGAAAAATAATAAAATGATTTTTTATTTGTTGGACTATTGTAATTAATTTTTATCCATGAAACATTTTTTAGTTAAAATTAATATGTACTAATAAAGATATTAAGTCATATTCAATTAACGAAGTATTAATATTGTTTTAGTATTTTTCAATGGTATTTAAAAATAACAATAACTCAACACCAGTCCCAGAGCCCAACAGGTCATCTTTTCTGGTTGAATTATCTGGGCTATGTCAGGGACGATAAATGTTTTTTTCTAAAAATATTATTTAAGAAACAGCGTAAATAAAAATATAGTGAACATATTGAAATAAGTAAAATTTTAGTCTACTCTCTTGTACAAAATTGATATATAATATAAAATTACGAGTTCAAACTTCTGCTAGAATACGGATTAATAAATTAATTAATTTACTGGAATATAAAAAAATAAAATGTATTTGATGAAGATTAAAATCTCAAGATAATTTTAACTCATATTGGTAGTTATTTTTTATAGGCCGAGATATTATTCATCGTAGGCTTGGTTGATAAAATTCGCTTCTGACAGATTTTAAATAATTTATTATGTAATCTTATTTGACTACTGATTTCCAAACAAGATAACATTATGACAAAAATTATTCTGTGGCACAACATTTTAGTTTGTGCAGTATACTATGTGTTATACAACATTTTTTACTGGTGTACTTTCGATTTGATGAATATAATCCAATAAATTGTTATTTTTATAATAGTGTGATTAATTTCAAAATATAATGGAAAATATGATTTGTTTTGTATTGTATACATCCACTGGTACCTAATTTTATGGGAAACTGTCATTAATTTAAGTAATATAAGAATAAAAGTTTTTAAGAAACATAACTAATTTTTAAAAATTAAGAAAGCTTCATTTAACCAAATTTATGTGACTGTATTAGGTGAGTAATAATAATGAAACTTTTTTTTTTAAGTAGCTTTAATTTTTTGTTGATTATAATTTTATTATTGGTAAATATCTCGCGCTAGAAATAGCGAGAGATCTGATAAAAATATATTTTCGAAACTTGTATTATTTATATTATAATTTTATAAAAAATGAACTTTATTAGCTTACCAATTTATTTTGTAGACCTTTTTTTGCATTGTGGACATTTCAAAATAGTCGTTTTAAAAATAAACATTTTTTTATTTTTGTGATAAATAATAAAAAATATGTATTATAGTTATAGTTTAACAAGGCAATAATTAAAAAAAAAAAATTCAACAAAATGATAGCTCTATTAAAAGTTATAAGCGTTTTCAATTAGTTTTAATTGATTCTGTATACTATTGTTATTGTTATAACAGAGTCTATTTATTAATATTTTCGTATTATATATATTNTTGTTATTGTTATAACAGAGTCTATTTATTAATATTTTCGTATTATACATATTATAGAAAATTTAATGAAATCTAACGAAATTCTTAACTATACAGTTTGATTCTTTTAACACTGGCTATTGAATTTTTCTTAAAATATCAAGTTTTTTGAACATTTATTTTTTGGTTTTGATTAGTTACATATGTAATTCTATTTATCTCTTATAAAATAATTATAGGTCCATCCCATATATCTTATAAGAGTGTCAACTTTATTTTTTTAAGTAGCAACATACATCTTAAACTAGCTTATAAAATAGAAAATGTTCTAATTAAGAATATGACTAGTCTATAACAAGTTTTGAATCAGTATTTCGGAAGTTATTCTTATTTTCATACATAAACTGGAAGAAGAATACGACCGGAAAATGACTAATGAAAAAAATAGCATCACCTCCAGACATTACTTTAAATTGTTAATAACTTCTGAAATACTTCCAAAAGTTGTTATCGGTTAGTCATATTTTTAATTAGAACATTTTCTATTTTATAAGCTAGTTTAATGTGTACCTAAAAATTATTTTATAAATGATAAATGAAAATACATGTGTAACTTACAAAAACAAAAAAAAGTTTAAGAAAACTTAATATTTTAAGAGAAATTTAGTAGCTAGTGTTAAAAGAATCACCTGAATACTAAATAATTTCGTTAGGTTAAATTTAATTTACTAGGAAATGTGTAATACAAAAATATTAAAAAATAAATTGTGTTATAACAACTCAACCCTTATGAAAACATAAAAGCTTAGAAGTTATATTAAATTATTTAAAATGTACATAGTGCTCATTAGTTGAAGTTTTGTTAAGTAAAAAAAAAAATTATATCCATCCACTAAAAATATTTTTGAGACAGCTTTGACATTGCTCTTCTGCTAATATCATTTAATAGCACGAATACTGCCATTACGATATTGTTTTTACCTCGCTATCGATATTTATTGCGGGATGTTAGTTATGATGGCCCATTGCTACCTCAGAACATTTGATCGAACATAAAAGTAATATTAATATCATTGTACCTGAGCTATCATGAGTCATTTCAATTATGGATCTTGGTAATGTGTTAAGTCCTATACCAGCCTGTTATTTAATGAACTATTATGGGCGCAAGTTAACAATTGCGAGCCTTGGACAGTTGTGTATTGTGTCGTGGATACTTTCAATTTTTATTCACAACATTTGGTCATTGTCATTTGCTAGATTTTTGGTAGGTGTTGGTGAAGCAGTTTCTTTTACAGTTGTACTCATTTTATTAGGCGAAATATCCGATGTAAAAATCCGAGAAACTCTTAGTTCAGTTTTTGCTATACAATTGTCGAGCGGCTTATAGTCTGAAATTATATCAGGATCTCAAGTATCTTACAGGACTCTGTACATTATGTCCACTTTGTGATTTTTTTTTACATTTATTTGGGTGGCGGAGTCGTCGTATTATTTTTTAAAAAAAGGTCGTCGTATAAAAGCTATTGAAAGTCTTCGATGGTATAGAGGCGGTTGTAATATTGCAACCGATGGAAAAAAACGTACAGGATGACATGCAGAACGGAGGGACGTTCCGAGAACTCTTCGTGAATCCCAGGAACGTTAAGTCTCTGACTATCATAATAACGGCATGTATAGCTCAGCGAGCTGGTGGTTTAAGCAGCCTTTTGGCATATTTAATACTAATCCTTCCAGATCCTGCTTCATTTGTTTTAAGAGAGTTTAAGTAAATCTAATGAAAAACAAAAAAAAAAAAAATTGATAAATTTGAATTTAATTTAAAGGTTTCAAATGAACATATATTGAAATTAAGATTTATATGTTGAAAATATATTTTTACATTTTTATTGATTTAAGCTATTCATTAGTTTTAATTAATTTTATTTAATAATTAATGATTATTTTATAATAATAAATGCAACCTATTGATAGTATCACTATAAGCTATGTTGAAGGATGTAACAGACAATTTCTAGATTCCTATGTCACTTATTTAATTATATAATATTTTTTTAATTTATTGAATTATAGAAACACTTATAAAATTAATAAATGTAAAGCGTTATATTAAATTACTAGTTTATTTAATTATAATGTTTTTGTAATAAAACAATTTTACAAGAAACTGAGACAGATTTAGTTTTATAATAATGTGTATTTTTTGTCTGTTCATATGAATACTCTGCTTTTACTAGATTATTATTGTCTTAATAATGACAAAAACTCACTATAATAAATATAGTGAGTTTATTAGATACAATTATTATATATAACTAAATCGATTGTTCTTAATTTTGAAATAAATTCAATGCCTGTCTATAAACAAAATTAACGAGAAATTAAATTAAAAATTGTTTTGGCACAAGTAGATTTTTGTAGTATAGGAAATATTTTATTATTAGAATCAAGTGGGGTAAATGTAAATAAATTACGTAATTGTAAATTTATTTTTAAAAGGGGATATATTTATTTTTTATTTACATTTAAAATTGTAGCTATACATGAGGATTGGAATTGTTTTATCCGAAGTCATTACGTACTGAATATTCTAAGAGGAATTATGAATTTACATTTACTTGATTTATTTACATATTCCTTTACTTACACCGTTTTATTGAAGCTTGAAACAAATAAAAAATTATATTGTAACATCTGAGTAGTACAGTTAAGAAAAATATTGTATGTATTTATTATATTTAAGTATAAATTTGATAGTCTATTCGAATAATTTTTTAACTATTTGATAATTACTGCTAAAAATAAACTATACGGTTGTATAAAAATAATTCGAATAGTTATTTGATAGTTTAAAATATTCGAAAATGATCATCACTGGTTTTTTTATTATTGTACTGTATAACACATTTAAAATAATATATAATTTTAAATAAGTCAGTGAATGTTTGAATCGTATTTCAAATTAAATGTTTTTGGAACATAATTTGATATAATATATATTTACAAGTATTCTTTTAAAATATGTATATATATTCATACAAAAATAAAATGTGTATAATAGGACATTTCAAAAATATATTATGATTAATTATTTACTACACACTTAGTTTGAAGTTAGCAAATTTTATAAAATAAAATTATAACTCATAAAATATCGAAAAAAATAATGTACTGAATCACATAATATATATAAATATATATTTTAATGTTTTTACCAAAAAATTTAAATAAAAGTTCATTATTTTTAACCATTGTATACAATTTTTTTTAGATGTATTAAAAAGAGATCTTTTTCTATGAATACTTGGATGATGAATACAATTACAGAGTTATCAATAATAAACTACTAGTACCAAGTGAAAAAAGAAATATGTTACCTTAGTACTAGACTTATATGATTAGTTTGTGTTTGATTTTATAGCGAGCAAATAATAGTTTCCTTGAATTCTTCTAAAATTTTAATGTTTAAATCTTATAAAAAATGATAAAAAAGTTTAACTTGAATATGCCGATTGGAACCGAATGGAACCCATCAATGACTGATGAAATATACAATAAGTTTTATTAAGACACGGACACTTATGTTGAACATAAAAACCAGATATCAGTTTCTATTAAACAAAAAGCTAACAAAAATAATTTTAAAATAAAAGAATCTGATGAATCTTTATCAAATTTTACTGGCATGACGACAAAATGTGTACATATTACACAAAACGATGAGCCGAAATGAGAGAACAGACATTTATTGAGGTATTCAGTTCACTAGACCATTATTTTAAAAATTGGCAGTCTGATTTAAAAGAGTTGATTGAATACGAAAGAATAATTGCCGATGCTAAAATTTGATAGGCTAAATTATAATTGTTAGCTGAATGTGAAGTATCTCAGATGGGTAATTTGATGACAGAAAATATGATAGCTTTAAAGGCTTATGAAAGGAAATCAGAACGTACATTCGATTTAAGTCATCGTGAAACTATGGGAAAGCCACAGTCCTATGTGAATATTCCCTTGGTTAAATTAAGTTCATCACATTTGTCATACAACGGTCTGGTGTTTGACCATACTGTTGGTGTTTTGAAGATGATCAAAAAAATGAAGAAAATGACTTTAACGAACTCGAAAAAAATCACTGATAAAGATTATTTTGCCAAAAGAAAATATAACAACTCAAATGTTTTTTTGAGTAATAAAAATATTTTTTTCGTTTTTAAATGTATTAAGCATTTTTTTCTTAACAGTTAAATTACAAAGAATTAGAAGTATTTTTCAGACCTAAGGTTTTTTGAATAACTTTTAACACAAAATCTAAGAGTTCATTTTTCGTTCAATTGCCTATATGAACTTAACACTTTTTCATGATAGGGATATTTTCCATAGGGAAGTCCATCTCAAGGTACCGCCTCAGGACACATATAGGTCTTAATCTTACCCAGCTCCTAAGGTATGCTCTTAAAATTACTGCTTAGCAAAGACTACTTTTGGCTGCCTAAATTCGCTACTGTATGATTTTATAATGAGAAGTTTTTGTAAAATAATTATGGAGTATATGAATAAAGTTTGATGTCGTAATATTTTTATTGATTCTGAATGTAGTTTTATTGACAATTCAAAATCTGACTTCAGATTTTTCATATCAACTCTGATTTCTGATATGATTACTAATTTCTGAAAAGTTTGAAAGTATGTAATAGAATAACAAATAAATAAAATGTGTATCATACTAATAAATTAAAGTGTTATCAGTTATGACAATAGTTATATAATAAAAATTGGTTATTTAGTTTTTGGTAAGTATTGGTAAATCTAATATTTTTTTAAATTAAAATTATATTACAAATATTAATTTAAAACTAAGAGTATTAAAAATATTTAACTCAAAAGACTAAACAATATTACTAAATAATATGTGTGTATGTGTTTAGCGTTGATAATGGCAACATTGTTCCCGAAAAACACATCTGGGATTTTTTAATAATTTTTTGTAGCTTTTTAAGTTACAAATTTTTTAGTTTTAAATTCATGTTTTTAATATAATTTTAATTTTAGACGTTTAGTAGTTAATTATTATTACTAATAAAATTGTTTAAATACTTACTCGAAATAAAAAAATTACAACATACAGAATTGTTGGGCATATATTGTGGTGCCGATATTTAAAGACATAGGAGATAAATTATAGAGACATAAAGCTTGTTGAGACAGTATTAATATTTGGGAAAAAATAATAGACAAAATAGTATGAGGAAAACATTAGTAACAAAGAACCAATTTAGTTTTTTACCTGGAAAGTTAATGATGGAGCCAGTTTATTATGTAAATCAACTAATAGAAAAGTATAGGGAAAAGAATACAAAGCTGTGTATGGTATTTATAAATTTAGAAAAAGCGTATGATAGAGTACCAAGAGAAGTTTTAAAGTTGCTATTAATAAGAAAAGGAGTACTGAAACGGTGCATTAATATAATAGAGGATATGTACGATCATACTTGTATCAGGGTAAAAAGTGTAACAGAAGATTTTTGGGTAAAAGTAGAAGTACACCAAGGTTCTGCTTTAAACTCTAACTTCTTTTCTACAGTGATGGATGTGTAGAGAGACCAGAGAAGATAGGATAAGAAACGAACATATAAGAGGAAATATAGGTATAGATGAGAATCGTGGATAAGATGACAGAAAATAGACTTAGATGATTTGGTTATTTTATGAGGAGAGAGGAAGCAGAAATTGTAAGAACAGTTATGGAAATGAATGTTGATGGATGGAGAAGACCAAAAAGAGATGGAGAGATGTTACTGAATACGATATGAGGCTGATGTGGTAAATCGTGTCAAGTGGAATTTAGGTTTAGGATGACACCAAGAAGTTGGGTTTAAGGCAAGGAGAAAGAAGAAAAAGAATAATTTGTTTTAATGAATTTTATTTATGTGAATGTATAAAAAAAATATATATAAAAACAAAACAATATAATACTTATATTAGCACTCAACACTAATATTATTTTTGAGCATTTAAAAATATAAAAATCACAAATTATATTAATATTACACGTTACAATACTAAATGATACTAAAAATATCATATAAAATGACTGTTAGAACCTAAAATACATAATTTTTGCACCATTCTTTGAAAAAAAAAAATTATCATTAAATAAATAGAGTAATTTTTTTTTTTATAAAACACATTTTCCATTAAATTTGTTAACATTTTAAATCTCTGATAATGTTATATATTGTATTAAATTGTATTTCAATAATTTAGTATCAATTAATAATTATGAAAGAGTAATCAATATACTACATGTATTAATATATAAAACAATTAGATAATTGTCTCTAATTAAAATAAGAAATTACAAATATTTTAAGTATAGGTTTCAAGAATTAGTTTAATTTTATTTTTATAAACTATGATTTAATGAAATATTTTAATTTAAGCATGCAAATTGTTCTATATTTTCATTATTCTTTGAAATATTAAGTGTTCTTTACGACTTAGTTAAAATATGAATAATATAAAAACAATTTTATTATACTATAGGTAAATAGACTTTGATAAATGCATAATTGTAATTTTTTTTATATTAAAATCAGTATAAATAATTATTAATGGAATAAATCAGTAGTTACTCTTTTATAAATTATTTACTAAATTTTCAATCTTATTTATTTAGGCAGTTATATATTATAAACTATGTAGATAACAATAATAAAATAATTATTCCAATGTACAAATATGACTAGTAAAACTTGGGTACAATATTTTCACATGTTCACCCAAAATAAAAAGTTACATGGTATTATGATGATTTTTGACTTAATATAAAAAATTGAGAGTATAAATTAAAATATATTCTGTTAATACAATATTTACAGCTTTAGTAAAATTAGATCAATTAAATTAAAATAAAAAGCAGTCAATAAAATTATGTAAAACAATTAAAACAATGTAATTATCAATGAAAAAAAGTAGGAATGCATATTAGGCATAACTATGATGCCACTACACTAGGCACTTGCTCTTTTGCAGATACCGATAATTGTTGACCACTCATTAAAGCCTCTATTTCTGGATATTGAATACGAACAGAATCAACAACATCCAATAGATTTTTGGCATCCATTGCAAGTACATGACCCGAAGATAACATTTCCCTTAAAAAAAAAAAATAAAATAATTATAGAAATAATAAAAAAATTAATGTAATTGTAATAATTAATGCTTACTTGTTGTATATATGATCTACAGCTGTATGACAATAATTTTGTGCAAGTTTCATTGCATTGACTAGGTCTGCCATATCCTTACTGAGTACTTTATGAGCCATTTCTACTTGTTTATGAGCACTTTTTGGGAAAAATGGCACTAAGTTATCAACACTTGTTAATAAAGCTCGAAGTTGAAGACCAACTTCTTTTACTAGTTCTAAGTATTTATCGACCTTATTTTTCTGAACTCCTAAAAATAAAATGGTAATCAATAATTTTAATGATTTAAATTTTTTATAATAAACGTCTACCTTGAGATAAGGTCATAACTGCTTTTACTACTAGTGTGGTGCATTCATACACTTTATCATTACTTCGATCTAAATCTGCTGTTGGTGTAGGTTCGAGTTTCTAAAAAAGAAACCAGTTAAAATTTTATATAATCAAATATTACTACATTTTACCTTAATCACAATAGATCTTTCATCTGTAGTTCTTGTCTTGGTACTGCGATCAAGAGAGGAAGGAGATGTTAGTGATGAACGACCATCAATAGATTCATTATCTGATTGACTAGCAACAAGGGATAATCGCTTTTTCTGTAAAGGTATTATAATTTTTAATTATAGTTACAATACACTAAAGGTGCAAATATAAATTAAGTATAGCATACAAGATTAGTTTCTTCTTCAGCTAACCAAATGCTATCTTTTTCTGATTCAATCTGTTGTTGTTTTAGTCTACGCTCTAATTGTTCAACTTCTGACAAATTGTCATTTTCATGAATTCCATTTCCAAAATAATTAGCATCCTACATTTTTTAATAATATTTGATTTAAAAAAAAATTATTTGACATCAATATTTAAAGTTATCAGGCATTAAAGTATAATAAAAAATAGAATTAAGTTATTAAAAATTTTAAAAGAAATAAAATTGAATATTTTCTTAAAACGAAATATACTTTATTTTTATCATGTAATTATTATTATTCTAAAAGATCATGTTTATGCTTTGATTATGGTTTTGTATCTTTCAGAAACTACTGAATAAATCTAGTAATACAGTAAATCTAGTGGACTTTTGAAATTTGAAAATATACTTGAATTATAATTTTAATATAATTTTTTTAAAAATAAAATATTGTAACATATTGAAATTTTGCTTTTATTTTTTTTTTTGTAAAAAGTTTTTTTGAATAAGAAAGTTTAAGCGATAGTAAAAGCAACAAAAAATACAATAATTTAAATTATAAAACAAATAAGCGTGTTAGCATAAAAATATGGTGATTGATAAATGAAAAGCAATTATGAAATGCACAACGAAAGCTCAAGCAAGGTGAACCTCATTTGTTCCGCCACCAGCTGCACAAGTATTCAGATTTCCATCTGAACAACGTCTTTTATTTGCATTTTGTAATGTTAGTGAAGCTGCGCCTGGCATGAAATTCCTAGGTAATGTCTTATTAGTAGATGTTTGATTAGGAGCAGCAGCAGAACCACCATCAATTGACATGAGTCCCACAGAATCCATGCTTAATATACTGTTTCCAGCTGAAATAGTTTTGTCATCATCTAAATCAGGAAGAAAATCTACCGTCATTGTGTTGAATCCAGTAGCTGGCGTTGTATAAACTGATGGATTGACACCACGCAATTCATTTTCTTTTAAAAGGTGAGCTAACACTTCAGCATTTTGTGCAACAATATAAGTAGAAACTGGTAAGTCTGATTTGTTGTCAATACTAGGTTGTCGTGAAGGTTTAGGAGGTGCAGAAGGATCATCTAGAGATCCACTTGAACCTAAATGACATAAATTAATAAAAACAATAATTTTTAAAAATTTATTATTTTATTTACCCCAAGATAGAGTGTGTACTCTACGATTTTCTCTTTTAAGAGTTTCTTTTTGTTGATGTTTTTCTTCAATTAATATCTCACTATAATAAAATTTAACAGTTTTAAATGATTTTTAATAATTCTTAATTTGTTATTAAAAAAAAAAAAAAGTGTAAAACTTACTTTAAAACTTCTTTTATATCTTTAAAAGTAGGCCTTTTGCTTGGCTCAAATGACCAACATTGAGACATGAGGCTATACAATCTCGGAGGACAGCGTTGTGGCAAGGCTAGTCTTTCTCCATTTTCTATTTTACCAATAACATCATTGTTTTTGATTCCTTGAAATGGTTTCACACCCATCATAAGTATTTCCCACATACATACACCAAACATCCAAACATCACTAGCTGTAGTAAAGCGCCTGAAATTAATAGATTCTGGTGACATCCATTTGATAGGTAGTTTTCCTTTGGAAGCCTTGTAATAGCTTTGATCTTGAACCCAACGAGACAATCCAAAATCAGCCAACTTAACGCAGTTATGAGAAGAAACTAATACATTTCTAGCAGCAATATCTCTAAGGAATGGAAAAGATAATAATAATAATAATATATAAATATATATACAAACTGGTACTATAAGGCTATAAGTTACCTGTGAACAAATTTTTTAGATTCGAGATATGATAGCGCAGTAGACAGTTGATATGAATATTGAATGAGAGTGGCCAAGTCTAATCGTGATTGGTTGTTTTGTAGGTAAGCCCGAAGTTCGCCAAGTTTAGCAAGTTCCATGACAATCCATACAGGAGGTGAACAACATACGCCTATCAAACGTATGATGTGTGGATGATCAAATTGTTTCATAATGTCTGGAATCATATATAAATATAAAATAATTGAACAAAATTAAAACAGTGAAATAATTTGTGCATACAAGCTTCTTCCAAAAATTTATCAGTAGTTGCTACATCGGCATCAGACTTGCAAGTTTTAATGGCCACTGCAATTGCATTCGTAGGACTATTTTTCGTTGTTCGCATATGACAAACACCTTTGTGAACATCACCAAACTGACCTTCACCAATGATTTCACATAATTCAATTTGATCGCGAAACAGTTCATAATTACAATCTAAAAAAAAAAAAAGTACTGGCTAAATAAATTTAAATATAACATGAGTAAATTTACAAATGATACACATAATAAACAGAATCTGTTTAATCGTACGTCTTATTTAATATCATAATTTTAATTAAAACTAATAGAATGAATATTTTAGACATGTTGACATTTGAAAGCATGGAATCATTGGTTAGAAATACAATAGGCTTGTTGGTTAATGGCACAATCAATCTTTATCAGACAAGCAGCAACAATCGGATAAACTACGAGAAAGATGAACCGCTTAATGATATCTCAGAGGATGCGTCGCAAATTCTCATAGACTCGTTTAAAGAATCATCATATCACAGTAAGTGCTAACTATTTTCTATATAATTGTTGTAAAATTAAAATTGTAAAAAAAAAAGTAAAATATAAAAAACTTTTTCACTGTTTAGAGGATACACATTTAGACAGCGAAAAAAAGACGGACAATAAGGAAACTACTAACAAGGGTTGTTGTATTACGATGGAGGCAATTACAAGAATATGCTTGTTGTCGACCATGTTAAAAAAAAGACGTTACTCTCACGGATTGAAATACCTGCTCGTGTCGGAATATTGTTTTGAAAACGGCCATAATGAAATCGGCTTGAAATATATCGCCAAATTTCTCATGGAAACCAAAAATTTTGATGAGGCAGTGTCGTTAGTTAGAAAATTGGAAAAGGAAAACATCGATAAGACAATTGAGAATTTAAACAACTCGCCTGCGACTGATGAACTCGTATCAACATTTTTTAAACACGTTTCCATGCTAAACAAAAAAGCCAATAACAAAATAGTCTTAGAGTAGAAAAAATTCAAATTATCATCTACTAAGTAATGAAATGATGTAACGGTTTTCAACATGTGACAAAAGTTAAAAAATTTTTATCGAATGAAATATTATTATTAGCGAACTGACCGTTTTTAATTAAAAATTAAATAGTTATTATAAATAAATTATCATACTTGCTAGAGTCGAATAGTCTCCTTCTTCTTCCAGTGGACCATCATCGGGGTAATCTTCGGAAAACTTCGAGTGACCATCTTTCACTTTAGTTTTTCCTAATTCTACACATTAAAAAACATCAATCAAAATTTGTCTGTCATATTTTGAAGTCATTAGAGCTAGTCGTTTATAACATGTCGTTAGAACTCATGCATTAAACAACTTGAATTATTCAAATTAATTCTCATTTTGTTTAATAATTCATAAACGTACACTTGTTTTGGTAATAAATTACAATTAGTTAAAATTAATATACAAAATCCGATATTGTTTTAGTGTGGTATTACATAGTTTAGCTGTTATTAATACATGTGGGGTTTTTTAATAATGTTTACAATTAGGCCTTCATTTTGCAGATAACACAAACCTTTGGAGCCGCAAGGGCACGGGAAACGATTCCAAATAGCAGCTTGTAAATTAAACGCATGATAAAACATAGTGAACATTTAAAAATAAAATTCGTTTACTTTTTTATCACTTACCTTTTTTATTCCATAACGGAACGCTAGACTTTCTGACCAACTGACAGTAGCCGTCGATAAGGTTTGCCAGACTGTACATATATTCTAACGTCGAACAACTTAGCACAAGTGGATCAGTGGAATTGGCAACTCTCAACTGCACTAGGGCTTTTTGGTGGGTTTCACATTCGGACACTAAGGTCTGTATGTTTTCGATGTTGGCAAAATCTGCCATTTTGGTGGGCTAAATATAAAATAACAGTAAACAATATAAATATACTTGACATCAACAACCTGTGACACTTACCGTCGTTCCCTGGCTATTGACGTACGAAATGCCGTGTCGCGGTCCTATGACTAAGTCCACCGGTATGGTCCAACCAGACTGTAGAACAAATTCATTAAAAACATACTAATTTTAATTGAAAAAAAAAACACAAATAAAAAGAACACACCCCAATGGAACATTTAAATATTTCCTGGTCGTACTTGTAAAACGACCAAACCAGACTGAGGAACTGTATCACGCAATCCTTTTCTGGAACCTGTGAAATTTTTTTGTACTGATGTTGGATCATCTTTCGGAGGTTCTTTGGTTTGATCGACTCGAGTATGTAGTACGGTAGAAACTTGTTGAGCCCAATCTAAAATGAGTTGAATATTAGAAAAATGAACACAATTTGTTCGTGTAGAGGAAATAACGTCCGATTAGTGTCTGCGCCGATTCCGAATTCGCATACCTCACGCTCCAAGTACTCCAAGTTGGATTTTTTTTCCAGAGACATTTGCGGCACTTCTCTGAAGAAACACCTAATCTGCAGACAACATAATTGTACGGCTAATTCGGCGTCGATTCGAGGCAGTTCGCTATTCCTCAAGTAGTCGTATCGCACCTAAAGGAGAGTCAAGAATTGTTTTGTAGTTAACAAATTGCCACGTGAAACTCAAACATCAAAAGGCGTCCTCACTTGGTCGTAGTAAAAGAAGTATGTGAACCGATCTCGTTCGTACAAGTCTTCCAGATCGTCGGGCGAGTACCGAACGCGCAATTCGAACCTCCACTCCGAAATTGGGTACTGTTCGTCGTACTTGTTGAAAATCTAAACACAACGAAATATGCGTAAAGACAATAAATGAAATCGAGACGAAAAACCCATCGTACCTCGGCCATCGTGCTGTCTTGGTGTAGCCAGTGGACGTCACCAGACAGCGGATGGTACAGCCGCAGACCGTATACGCCCAGATACTGCAGACAACCGCTGGCCAGCCGGCCGGTAACCAGTGACACGATCCCCTGAAAACCATATCAATAATCAGTGTAGTTTGAAAAACCGTTTGCAGTCGTGTGTTGCTATCAAATGGGAGCGAAATCCAACGATAGTAAACAGCGACGTTTTTTTATCGAATATTCAGCGAACGAAATAAAACCGGTGAAAACGGCATACGATACCTTGACATTGATGTTGTCGATAAACTTTACAATATTGAAACCATTATTGGGCAGGTGGACTTTGATCGACCCGGTTTTGGCCGAAGCAGGTGCGCCGCCGTCGCCACTGTCGTTTTCCGCCATATCCGTTTGTTTGGACAGCTCGATTCCCGAGGTCCTGTCATGGCTGCAAAATAAAAGAGCGTTCATTGCACGAAATTCGCAAACGTCCGGTCACCGCCGTTAACGGCACGCGTAATAGAAAACGGTTACTGAAAAGTCGAGAAATAATAAGTTGTTATAATATCGTCACGGGTCGCACGCATTTAGGTGGGAAACGAGATGCGATAATGGCATGTCATCGTGACGACAAGAGAATTATTCGTCGAGACAGACACCCATAATAATAATTTCAGTGGCCACATAGACGGTCGCAGGTAAAAAACGACACGTGTTGCGATTGGAAATAATCGACTCTGACCGGTTAATTAACACTCTTAATGACCTATACGGGTACCGCCTAATGGGCGCGTTAGTGCGTTTTCGCCAAACAAACGCTCGCACCAATATCAATAAAAACCCAATAGGACTAATAACTTAAAAACCGGCCTGCTGTAGTTCATAGGTCAGTGCATTGATTATGCATATAATGTTCATGTGCTGACACACATAAATACAGCACAGAAAAAATAAATCAC